TCTACTGAAAAATGGGCTTCTTTCCTGTCTATCCCCATGTCTGCTTGGTCTCCTTTTCATAACCACCTCTTTATCCAAACAGCCACCCTCTCTGGACCTTGAGCCACTATGTTATCTTCTTGTGACTATGTGTATGTGGCTATGTGTATCGGGTCAGGCTATGTGTATCGGGTCATAGCGCACAAACAAGTGATAACATTTGTTCCGTTGCTACTCCTATCTCCACACAGCTGCACCCTTGGAAGATAGTAAAAGACAGGATGAACTGAAAAACTGTGGTCATTCTGCAGCACTTTGTCCAGACTGTGTGACCAGGTTACTCAAAAGCAATGAGAAACAATACAGGTCTATCTGTTCCTGAAGGTTATCTCCATCCCATGTCCTTGACTACACACCCAGACCAGCTGCAGGGAGCTAGAGGGAACCATCCTTTCTCAGAAGCACAGCATTTGCACTAAAGAAATGTCTCTACTATTGTTAAATTGGTTCTTAATCCATAGGCATATAGGGCATATAGGCATTTCATTCTATAACATGCATAATTCATATAATTGGTTTGTTATGTTGTCTAAGTAGTTAACTAAAATCTCCAATAAGACTTGTCCCTCAAATATGTAAGGGAAAACCTTCATCTAAATATCAGTCTGTTTACACAGGCAGCCCAATTCTGATCTTTTTGCAACCAATAGTTTTTTTGCCAATAATTGGTCAAAAGATCAGAATAGGGCTGCCTGTGTAAACGCAGCCTTAAAGGAATATCACATTGTTTGTCCAATAAAATATCTGCAAATTCTCATATTAATATGAGAAACTCACCTGTGTTTTCATAGTGAGTGAAATTGGATACAGTATGTGTTTATTATTGGTTTTACATAATCACACGTCGGCCAGTGTAGAGATCACACACACAGAAGTATGTATGCTTGAAGGTCCACGTAGGCATAATCAACCCCAACACTGAAACCACTGTCAGTTTATTTTGTTGAAATATAAAACACTACACAAGGATTGCAAACAAATGTATATAATTCTGAATTACCCCATTCATAATACACAGTTATGCTAAGATGGATGAATTTGTGTTACTTGGTAAAGTACTGTACAAAAAGACTTGTTCTGAGCTGGCAGTCAGTCAATCAATCTATTAGGAGGCAGCGAGGCGGGACAACCACTACCTCCTTCAAAGCTGTGTTCTTCTAGCCTACTCCAACTGTGAGGATCTTGAAACATATTTTCTTTACATCACAACTTGAGTCTATTACATATGGCATAGGTAGGGCCCTGCTTTTTTTTGCAGAAATTGAGGCACTGTGCTTTTACTGGTATGTTCAGGAATATCCACTAGTGTTGCTGCAGGTAGAAAAAACGGTTAAGGTGTTGGCTTCACAGTTGCTGGACCCAGGTTCGAGTTCGCTACAATATACTTCCATGGTTGGTTTCATTGGGTAGGTTACAGGCACACATTAATTCGATTATTGTTAATAGTCAGATTAATATAATAGTTTGAATAAATAGTTTACATGCTTTGCAAGTACGATTTGCCTAATAATCCAGTTTACATGGATACATCTGAAATCAGGCTACCTGATGGGATAAATGCAGAAAATCGCCAATCAAAAATAAACGTTCTACCACAGCAATCCTATATGATTCTGAGTTTGGACATATAAAGTTTATATGATGCATACTTTCAGTTCTTCCGAACTCACTTCACTCGCGCAAAAGAGGGAGGCTTGTGTTGCTGGTGCTAGCACATGCGCAGATCAAATACACTGCTGTAACTTAAGGTGTTAACATGTTCTTATAAAATCGAAAGATTGCTCAGAAAACCAGGTGTTTTAATTGGTGTATGCTTACTTCGATTATGACCATACGGCAATTAAGATAAGCAGAGTAAGGTGTTTACATGATTAATGCCATACTCGACCTACTGCCATAATCAGTTTAATATAAAATTATTAGTGTGCATGTAAACATACTCATTTACTCTCGCCTTTAACTGCCCTTAATTGACCAATTTCTTTGCAACAACTTCCGAGTCCATTGGAGAGTATCTGCTTGAGCGAAAGTGAGGTGTAGAATAGTATTCCCTGCCAAATAATAGTTATTTGTGCGATTAAGATTCACAGATCTACACCTCCCTTGGATCAGGTGATTCCCCCCGCCAAACACACAGGCACAACCACACATTGATTGGAGACAGCTTGTGTCAATTACAGAAATTTCCCAAGGATTTTCTACCTGCAGCAACACTAGTGGATAATGGTGGAAATACCGGTAATGCACAGTGGCTTCATTTCCGCACCAAAAGGCAGGGCCCTAGGCATATGACACCAAGGTGCATTCACATAGACAGCCCAATTCTGATCTTTTGCCCAATTATTGGCAAAATAGCTGATCTGATTGGTCAAAATACCAATTATTGGGGGGGAAAAAAGATTGGAAATGGGCTGCCTGTGTAAACACAGGCCAAGGTGAACATATCGATCTCACTTTTACAGAATAACTGAGAAAAACCCCCACAAATATGCCCACTAATAACCCTAAATACAATCTTGCTTTCGTTTTAGGTTAATTATTAATGATCAATACATTATATTTCACAAAGTACCAGATGTGTAAAAGAAAAAGCCAAACTAAGTGCCGTATTAGTAGTCCATTGCAAACAAGGCACTTGTATAATAGATTTAAATTATTTGGTCCTCGTTACAGTATTGTCCACAGGCAAGACACATCCAAAATACTTGGCTTTAAAATAATGAGATTGTATATGGCTAAAATCAAAGGCACATCTCTTTACTTGGGCCATATTTACACAGGCAGTCCAGTTATTGGCATTATCCCAATTAGTGAGAAGAATAATCGGAATTAGGCTGCCGGTGTAAATGCAGCCTTTGTGGTTCATGATGTATTGGTACAATAGACTACACTGTGTCTTGTGTTATTCCATTATGTTTCCTCATTAGAGAACCACAGATGTCTTCTTAAGAGGCATTCAACATCCACAGCAGCTTTGCTCATTACACACACACACATTAACGGACATAGGAAAATGTACAGAAAGTGCTTGATTCTTGTTTTTGTTGCCATAATACAGCTCCACTGATTACTCCTGTATTTGATAGGTATTTCCAGTTCTCAAGATGACTGCTGCTGCAATTGTCTGCCCCCGAGTGTTCTGCCCATAGAGATAGTGCCTTCAGAAAGTATTCATACCCCTTCACTTATTCCACATTTTGTTGTGTTACAGCCTGAATTCAAAATGGATTTCTCACCCATCTACACACAATACCCCATAATGACAAAGTGAAAACATGTTTTTAGAAATATTTGCTAATTTATTATAAATGAAATACAGAAATATTTAATTATTCAGTATTCACACCCCTGAGTCAATACTTTGTAGAAGCACCCTTAGCAGCGAATACAGCTGTGAGTCTTTCTGGGTAAGTCTCTAAGAGCTTTCCACACATTTGCCCATTATTCTTTTCAAAATTCTTCAAGCCCTGTTAAATTGGTTGTTGATCATCGCTAGATAACCATTTTAAGGTCTTGCCATAGATTTAAGTCAAAACTAACTCAGCCACTTAGGAACATTCAATGTTTTCTTGGTAAGCGACTCCAGTGTATATTTGGCCTTGTGTTTCAGGTTATTGTCCTGCTGAAAGGTGAATTTGTCTCCCAGTGTCTGGTGGAAAGCAGACTGAACCAGGTTTTCCTCTAGGATTTTGTCTGTGCTTAGCTCTATTCTGTTTCTTTTTTATCTTGAAAACCCCCCCCAGTCCTTAACGATTACAAGCATACCCATAACATGATGCAGCCACCACTATGCTTGACAATATGGAAAGTGGTACTCAGTAATGTGTTGTATTGGATTTTCCATAAACATAACCCTTTTGTATTCAGGATAAAAAGTTAATTGCTTTGCTACATTTTTTGCAGTATTACTTTAGTCCCTTATTGCAAACAGCATGCATGTTTTGGAATATTTGTATTCTGTACAGGCTTCCTTCTTTTCACTCTGTCAATTAGGTTAGTATTGTGGAGTAACTACAATGTTGTTGATCCATCCTCAGTTTTCGTCTATCACAGCCATTAAACTCTGTAACTGTTATAAAGTCACCATTGTCCTCATGGTGAAATCCCTGAGCGGTTTCTTTCCTCTCCGGTGACTGAGTTAGGAAGGACGGCTGTATCTTTGTAGTAACTGGGTGTATTGATACACCATCCAAAGTGTAATTAATAACTTCACCATGCTCAACGGCATATTCAATGTCAGCTTCTTCTTTTTTTTTTCTTTACCCATCTACCAATAGGTGCCTTCTTTGCGAGGCATTGGAAAACCTCCCTGGTCTTTGTGGTTGAAATTCACTGCTCGACTGAGGGACCTTACAGATAATTGAATATGTGGGGTACAGAGATTATGTAGTCATTCAAAAATCATGTTAAACACTGGTGGGCCCATGAAACTTATTATGTGACTTGTTAAGCACATTTTTACTCCTGAACTTATTTAGGCTTGCCAAAACAAAGGGGTTGAAATCTTATTGACTCAAGACATTTCAGATTTTCATTTTTAATTAATTTGTACACATTTTCGAAAAATATAACTTCACTTTATGGGGTATTGTGTGTAGGCCAGTGACAAAAAAAATCTACATTTAATCCATTTTAAATTCAGGCTGTAACAGAACAAAATGTGGAAAAAGTAAAGGTGTGTAAATACTTTCTGCAGGCACTGTACGTATAGACTGTATAATACTATTTCTATTGCTTCTGTGTTGTGCCTTGGCTCAATGTCTTACATCCGCTCTATCAGTCGAAGGACTAGGGTTGTGTAGTAGTGATGCCACCTGTCGGAGGACAATATGGCCCCATAATAGATGTCCTCTAGCCTGGTCCCAGATCTGTTTGTGCTCTTTCCAACTCCACTGCTGTCATTGCCAAGCCATGTTTGGAATGACAATTCAATATGGAGCAAAAACAGACTGGCACCCAGGCTAGTCCTCCTCATCTATGAAGGGGCCGTCCAGGTCTGAGAAGTACCTGCTCCTTGCCTTCGTATTGGGCTGGGGGTTCTGTCCATCTGGTTGGTCTCTGGGGCCTGTAGCTGTAGTTCTTTGGGCCAGGTCAGCAGGCTTAGGAGGGCACTCCTGCCTCTGGCTCCTCCACAACAGGTTCACTCTGCCTGGTGGAGACAAGAGTCTGGATTAGTCTAATAGTAGACAGCCTGGTAGAGACACTCTGGATTAGTCAAATAGTAGCTGGTCCCAGATCTGTTTGTGCTGGGCATGACAATTATAGTCAGAGGAGTTAATATAATATTATACATATAGGCGGTCCCGGGAATCGAAAACCCACTATCCTGGAGTTGCAAGCACAATGCTCTACCAACTGAGCTACAGAAGACTAGTTGGCTAAAGCGCATACAGATCTAGGACCAGATTAGTGTTATGATATGGGGGGTAATTTAGTGTTAGCACACAGTTAGGCAACACACTACCATGACACACTTCCACACTCCATCCCCAGGTGGCAGCACCAACCGGGTAGGGTCTGTGCTCTGCCAGGAAGCCTTGATAAATCCACATGTGCGAGCAATCAGTGGATTGGCTATCTGTGACCAGAGGCCTCTCGGCCTGCCAGTGTTTGGTGTTGTTTTGTGGTAGTTAACCTCTTTAGTTTAGGCATGCCTCCTTGTAGTATTCTTTTTGTATATAGTTCATTTTTCGGTCACCATTTTGAACAACAAACAATAATTTGCATGGACTGGCCAACCAAAAGGTCATGACGGAGCTGGCCCTTGATCCTGTTAAGTTTGTTGTCTCCTGGGCACATGTACATACAACACAGTCCTCATATGCTGATTTCTCATCGTCCTCCTGTGATTTTTGAACTTCAACTCCTGTTGAAAAGCGATATCCCAAGTATAAATATGTTTCGAGCAAAATAGTGTTTTTTTATACAACTGCAAACTTCAAAGAGTTGGTCTGATGGTGCCCGCTGATGTCATCGGCCTCCCCCTTGCTTGAGGAACAATAGAGGAGCAATAGAGAACAAAAGACGAAAAGGCCCACCTCCCCACTTGTGCCATGTCATGAGGCACCTGGACCACCTATTGACCTTTTGTTAAGCAAATCAGGGGTTAAATGAGGTGAAAAGGAGATTGGAGTAGGACTTTAAAATCAGGTTACAGACCAGTTAACTAGGCCTAAGACCCCTAAACTTAGCGAGGGGAACAATATTAGCAGGCTAGTTAATCGGTTTCGTAACACTTGTACAACAGGGACTGGCTGATAATCGGGCTGCTCGTGATACTAATACAAAAAGTCAGTCAGAAATGAACAAAGCAGAAAATACAGTAGATTGAGCAAGCACACACCCTGAAATACCATTGTAACCGGTAAATCACGTACCTGGTTACACAAAACTGGCGCTAAATGTATGCAGACCCACTTTACAACTAGCTACTGTAGAAGGTGGCATCTTAACAGGGAATCCACCACTTGTTTCTTCAAATCTCTCCCCTAATATAGCCAGGAGTCGCTAGCAGGAGTTGGGTAAAACACAAACGGATATGTCAACCATGCTACTTCCAATGCACCAGTGGTAGAAAACAAGACTTTGTGTTACAGCCTGGCATAAGAATCTCATAGAAGTGCAATCACAACGCAATTATTCGGTTTTTCTTGTTTTCTTAAGACATTTCTAAGTAACTACCTGGGCTGTAAAATAATGTGTTACCGAAAACAAACAGTTGAAAATAATTGAAGTGAATGAAGGCAGAGGATGGTGAAGGCCTACTGTACCTCTCTACTGACCTTCTGTGTCTAGGCTCCTCACTCTATCCTACACACAGGCTCTCTGAGCTGACAGACAACGACAATCTGGACTCTGAGTCGTCAAAGTTCTCCTGCTCCAACTCTGGCAACCTGCACGCCAGCTCCTCCCTGCAAACACACACAGGAACCCATTAACACAGGTAACAAACAGTATATGGCGCTGAGGCAAAAGCCAAGAGCTTCTATTGTACCACTAAGACAGTGTCTCTGAATACATTTTTGGGACTGCTCCTTTTTGTTCTAGTCCAGCACTATAACACATCTGATTCAACTAACCAAGGGCTCAGTGATTATTTGAATCAAGTGAGTTAGTGCTGGGCTTTAACAAAATGGTGCACCCCTCAAAAGGTCCAGGAATGTATTGTGAAACACTGAGCTGAGCTGTATGGTATATGGTGCATGCACCGCTTACCCCTTGAAAGTAGGAGGATACATATGCAAATAAAAGATGACTGGTCATTCGTCAGAGTAATTAGATCAGATTGTGATGTCATGATCTGGGCAAAAAAATCCATCCCACCTGAACAGGCTGAAATTCCAGGCATAAAAAAAAATAAACAGCTCTTACACAAAATCATCATTTTCACTTTCAGATTGTTATTTCGACCTCATGTGAAAATATATATTTATTTTTTTACTACACTGCCTCTAACACACTGACAGCTTCTACTGAGTTAGCGTTCCTCTTTAACACATCTGATTCATTGGTGATTAGTTCAGTCAGATGTGTTAGTGCCGGGCTAGAACAATATTTTGCACCCCATAACAGTGAACTAGAGGAGTCTGTCTCTATACTCACTTCTCCTGTTTGATGGATTTGATCCTCTCGATGAGGGTCCTCTCTGACTCCGACGGGTTAAGATTGTCCATTTGAGGTACGTCCAGCTCTGATGAAGGTTTCTCTAAGATCTGCAGATATATACTATATGAGTCAATATAACAGGCACCAGACAAGAAGACAAACTATTTTTGGGGAACGTGGGAACCGTATTCCCAAAGTGAAATTCCCAGTGGGAATGGAAATTGGATCCCACAGTGATCCATATTCTCAGATGTATTACACACAGAGTATACCAAACATTAGGAACACCTCCCTAATATTGAGTTGCACCCCTCCCCCTTTTGCCCTCAGAACAGCCTAAAGTCTTCGGGGAATGGACTCTACAAGGTGTCGAAAGTGTTCCACAGGGATGCTGGCCCATGTTGACTCCAATGCTTCCCACAGATGTGTCAAGTTGGCTGGACTGTCCTTTGGGTGGTGGACCATTCTTGATACACACGGAAAACTGTTGAGCATGAAAAACCCAGCAGCGTTGCAGTTCCTGACACAAACCGGTGCGCCTGGCACCTACTACCATACCCCGTTCAAAGGCACTTATATATTTTGTCTTGCCCATTCACCCTCTGAATGGCACACTTACACAATCCATGTCTCAATTGTCTCAAGGCTTAAAAATCCTTCTTTAACCTGTCTCCTCCACTTCAACTACACCGATTGAAGTGGATTTAACAGGTGACATCAATAAGGGATCATAGCTTTCACTTGGATTCAACTGGTCAGTCTGTCATGGAAAGAGCGGGTGTCCTTAATGTTTTGTATACTCAGTGTATATCAAGCTCATAAAGTATGTTGTAAACATGTCATTGATCTAGGGTTGCAAAATTCCAGCTTTCCCCAAGCTCCCTTGTTTTTCCCCGGACGATATCTCAGAAACCTGGAAACGTTTTCAGAATTTTGCAACCCAATTGATCACCATACAATGTGATATCAAAGCAATGTTATGCTGGAACCACAGCGTTCTTCCAGTGTTATGTCTACAGTGTGACATGGTAGTGACAGTAATGTTCTTACAGTTTATGGCTACAGTGTGACAAGGTAGTGACAGTAATGTTCTTACATTGTTATTTCTACAGTGTGAAACGGTAGTGACAGTCATTTGTTAATTTATTATTATGATCCCTATTAGCTGTTGCTAATGCAGCAGCTACTTTTACTGGGGACCACACAAAACATGACATAATACAGAAGATTAATAGACAAGAACAGAACTACATACATTTAAAATACGAATAATATAAATAAAAAAGGTCCTGTACTAATGTAATGTACTTACAGTGTTCTGTCTCTTGAGCTTCAGCTGGTTGACGGCCAGGGCCTCAGCGAACTCCAGCTCTGTGATCTCCTGCATCTTCTCAGTGTACCGTCTAAACTGTTCTGAGATCAGGATCTCCACACACCTGGGGGGAGAGGAAAGGACAGGGGTTAGGTCTTCTTACAACAAGAATGCTTACTAAGGACTACATCTTAACTTGAGATATGCACCTGTAACTACAACTTAAGTGCAAACATCACATCAGTGCATTGGCTGTACATTAAAGTGAGTTACAGGTGTTTCTCACATTAGGATGCCACTAACAATAAAATGTGTTAAAAAAACACCCTAAAATAACTACATCAGCCTTCTCTGATTACAATACTACATTAGTAGTAGTAGTAGTAATGTTGTCTCACGTGGTTGTCTTGGAGATGTCCTTCATGCCGAGGAAAGGGTCTGTGGTGTCAGGGGTTCGCAGGATGCAGGGGGCAAACACTATGGCCAGGGAGTTAGCGGACATCCGGTTGTGCTCTTCCTCCTTTGCCACTCTAGAGGAAGGAAATATCCATCAGTCTGACACAACAGGTCTATTATCATCCAAATACATACTGTAACATGGTTAACCTGTCATGTGGCATAATCAGGGCACAGAGTTTTTCCTGGTCAAGTGTGATTAGGAAACACTCAGGGACCTAAGGAAAAACTCAAGGCCCAAAGCATAGCATGAAAGCCTTTGTATGGAAGATGGAGGATTGCTACTATCAGTCAACATAAATCAGCCAACATGAATGGCGACGTATTGTACAGGTTATTGAGTGATGTGAAAACGAGTGATAAGTAGAAAGACCATTATACCCATAGAGATAAAACGGATCCATCTCTCTGCTGCTACCTACCTGACCAGGTGAAAGACCAGCCTCTCCAGAGTGTTGAAGTTAGCAGGGGGGAGCTCGTCCAGTTTCTGGTAGACCGCACGTAGCTGTTCAGATTGCTCTGGCAACTCTGCACATGAAATGACAGTGTCAAATACTTTGACATACTACTAAAGTACTTCAGGTGCCTAATTTAGCTTGATTGGCGTGCAGGGTGGACGAAGGACTATTCTATTGAATCCAGTGTATTTGGCAAGCTAAATCCAGTGTACTTCAAGTATTTGAAATTGATTTCTCCGGCATCTCTCTTAATGAAAAACACAAATGGAAAGATACTTCTTGAACTTCACATAACAACTCTTTTTTTTTTTTTTTTGCTACGTTGTGCCCTACTGAACACAGCCCACCAGACAGACTCACCCACAGCAAGCAGGAAGTCGTTGTAGAGGCTGAAGGTAAGGAGGGGCTCAGGCAGCTCTCTGAGCCAGCGTTTCATCAGACCTGTCACCGTGTGGATGGAGTAGTTCTCAAGAGCTACCCTCTCTGGGTCTGACAACAAATACATTTGTCTTGTGTTAGTTTTTTTTTGTGATAAACATTTTACTAATAAATTGATGAATGTAGAATTGAAAAACAAACATTACTTTGTGGTAAATGCTGCAATTACCAGTATACTACTATAGTGTGTGAATGTAGTGCCTTTATTGATTGACCAACAATTAGTACAGTTGAATACAATAAAAAAAGGTTTTGTTGATTGTACTAAACCAAAAGGACATTCAGGGTTAAGGTAGAGGTCTTACTGGTCCCCAGTAGCTGGTGCAGTTCCCTGGCGTGGCAGGCAGAGCCAGACTTGCGGTAGATGCCCTCTGTGTACAGACCGTTCAGCTCCACATGCTCCAGCATCATCTGTACCACCATTGGGATTGGGTAGGTCTTACTGGTCAGAACACACACCTGTACCCCAAAGTGCAGATGGCCAGGTACCCCATCGTTCTAACACACAGACATAGACGTACACTGGATCAAACAATAGTCCAGACAAACTTTACTTGGTAAACTTTAAAAACACTTGACCACTGTAGTGCTGCTTACCAGCCTGGCGCATCGTGTTGAGCAAGCGTTGATGATTTTGGAGAGGCATTTCTTGTGACATATCAATTTGCAAGCTAAACGACCAAACAGGGGAGACAAGAACAAAATAGTAAGAAGAAATGTGGAGTCTGTTCTGATGTTCTAATTCGGGGTGATGACAGCGAAGCTGCAAGCTAATCTATTGTTTTGACTGGAAATCTTATTTTTTCTTATATTTTTCTTCCACCTTTGTCACAATATCTCAATGCCCAATTGGTTAAAACAAAGTATACTTTGGCAATACACATGCAAGTGACACTTTCCTACGGCATAATTCCATGTTCATGTCCCTGGTCTTTTGAATGGGCTTGACGATTATATCATAAAATTCATGAAAATGCGGTCATATTGTAATGTATACGCCGGGAGTCAGGAAACAGGTGCAGAAGTTGATTTTAATATAGAACCGGGGTGATTATTGAAATACAGTTTGAAGAGGTAGGGTTTCAGATGTTTTCGGAAGATGGGCAGGGACTCTGTTGTCCTAGTTTCAGGAGGAAGCTGCTTCTACCATTGGGGTGCCAGGACAGAGAGCACGCGATCACCAACACTTGACAACTGAGGAGTGGAAAAACATTGCCTGGTCTGACGAATGCTGTTGCGTCATGCTTATAACAGAGTCAGGATTTGGCGTAAGCAGCATGAGTCCATGGACCCATTCTGCCTGGTGTCAATGGTACAGGCTGGTGGCGGTGGAGTACTGGTGTGGGGAATGTTTTCCTGGCACATGTTAGGTCCCTTGATACCAATTGAGCAACAAACGTTTCCGACACCTTGTAATCCATGCCCCGAAGAATCCAGGCTGTTCTGGAGGCAAAGAGCGGGGTCTGACCCGGTACTAGATGGGTGTACCTAATAAACTGGTTCTTCTATGTTCTAATTTTATGTTCTAAGATGGTGAACAACAGAGAGTGTTATCTGTAGGCTACTCACCGCTGCACATGTAGGCCTTCTCCATGCCCCAGATGTAGGAACCACACAGGTCACAGGACTGCATGATGTTCACCTGGTACGTGCTGAACATGTGATCTAGAGGGCTGTTGGGCTTGAAACAGTATAACACACATCAGATAGGGAGAATAACAAGTGTGCGTATCTCCACGCAAATCTCAGACCTTGCGTACGAACAACTTCAAATGGTTGATCAACTGTATTGGAAGCAAATATTGTTCTTTGGGGGAAATTGTGGTTTTTGATGTACAGGAGTTATAATAACAGTAGGCTAATAAAAACATTAAAATGTAGCGCTAATGATAAAACAGATGAATTTGCCGTTGGTAAGATAATCGCATAGCAGCATGTCGCCTAATATATTTATTTTACTTTTATTATATAGGCCTAAATCATAATCATATTGCAGGGCATGTCTCTCCTTTTCTGACATGACTGGTTTATTCCCACTCCACAATAAATATTAGGCTACCATTTATCCATTGCTCATTCAATAGCCAACCATGCTCGAAGGTAAATAGACCGTTAGCAGTATGGGTAGGCTACAGTATTGCTGTGCGATAGGAGCGTGACATAATAGCCTATTTAATCTCAGAGCCTATACTAAGGCAGGAGATAGAAACACAATCATGTATTGATTAACAAAATATTGAACAACAATTCGTATTTTTCATAGAAGTGTGAGCAGCATTTACTTTTAAATTGTTCAATAGACAATCCATCTTTCAGAATGCACTTGCTATAGGCGGCATTTATTTTTTGTTTAAAAAAGTCCCTGCAAAAGGTCAAAACATTCTGGCCACACCTCTACAGAAATGTGATCAAAATTGCCATTGCGCTTTCTTTTAAACTGTCATGGCCCTGTTCCAACATCTCCAAATCATTCAGCAAATGAGGGAGTTTTTGTTACCATAAAAGGTGAATGGAGGGCGTTTTCCAGGCAGGGTTGTAACGCTTGTTCACGAGTGTATAAATCAGTGGTGGAAAAAGTACTAAATTGTCATAATTGAGTAAGTAAAGATACCTTAATAGAAAATGACTCAAGTAAAAGTGAAAGTCACCCATTAAAATACTACTTGAGTAAAAATCTAAAAGTATTTGGTTTAAAAAATACTTAAGTATCAAAAGTAAAAGTATTAATCATTTCAAATTCATTATATTAAGCAACCAGATGGCACAATTTTCTTGTTTTTATTTATGGATAGCCAGGGGCACACTCCAACAGTCAGACGCCATTTACAAATAAAGCATTTGTGTTTAGTGAGTCCGCCAGATCAGAGGCAGTAGGGATGACCAGGGATGTTCTCTTGATAAGTGTGTGAATTTGACAATTTTCCTGTCCTGCAAGCATTGAAAATGTAATAAGCACTTTTGGGTGTCAGGGAAAATGTATGGGGTAAAAAGTAAATAATTTTCTTCAGGAATGTAGTGAAGTAAAAGTAAAAGTTGGCAAAAATATAAAAAGTAAAGTACAGATACTCAAAAAAACTACTTAAGTAGTACTTTCAAGTATTTCTACACCACTGCTAGAAATATAGTATGGCTCTGATTTATCAATGAAAACGTGTGTATATATATGGAATAAAACAACTGCGTGCGACAGTTTGCTAAATTCCAATAATTTGTTGTGCACGTAAATCCTAGAATCTCCACATGCCAGAATTTAGTGAGAAATGTATGCACGATTAATAAATGAGGCCCCTGGACCATTAATCTGGGTTTACTTAGACAGTGCTATTCAGGAGGTTATCATCAGACAATTTAACTTACACATTTGCTCTTTTTCCCTCTCTTTGTCTTTTTCAGGGTCTGCAACACATTGAAAAGTAGATCAGACGTAGAACAATTGCACATCTGTGAACCTCTTAAAATTACACATACCGCTCTTTTAAACTTTCAAAAGTGTATACTGCTCAAAAACAAATGTAAAAAACCAAACTGTGTTGCGAGCGTGTGTGTGTATATGTGTGCGCATATATCTTTCTATGTGTGTTAGTGTGCGTTTGTCTGACCATTCAGAACTACCTTGACCGGCCCAGCCTCCGCTCGTTTGATCTCTCCCCGTATGAAGCCATCCAGGACGGACTGGAACAAGTTGACCACCGACTTGACCTCAGTCTGCTGCTTGGCTTCGGCAAGACTGGACACCCGGTTCTGGTAGCCCTTCAACAAGCCCTTGTAGCTGATGTGGGGCTTCTGTTGGGAGAGGACACAGGGGAGAGGACAGGGTTAATGAAGAGTGTGGGGGTGATATGATGTACAGTACAGCACATCCCAAATCTTTACACCGGTGCTGTGCCAAGAAACACTGAGAATAAAGAAATAAAAACCTGTACACAGTATTTGCTGCTCCAAAGTGCTTTATAAAGCACTTATCGTGTGTACTCCTGGCCCTAACCAAGCCCTATATACTATTGATTTGGCATCCTTCTCAGGCAGTGAATGCCAATCTATTTTAAAACCAGTTTCAAGACACCCTTTCAAACTTGGTTAATTACCCCCATGCATAGTTCCTTATCAAAATACCTAGAGCTCCATAAAACAAATCTCTGTTCAAGGTGCCCAGGTCAGTCCGGTGGATAGACTTGTATACTCACCGAGACGGAGTACATGCCCTTGATGGTCTCTCTGAACTGCATGGTGGCTGTGAGAAAGATGCTCTCTGTCGCTGACAGCTCCTTTGCCCTTGTACGCAGCTCATTTACCTGGAGTGATGGTGGGTGTGAGAAGTTACATGTATCTCTACATTATCTCTCATTATCTATCATTCGGGGCAGACTGTGTTTAGATCCTCTGACAAGAACTGGTAACAGTCGGTATGTTCTAAAGATGCAGTGCATGAACATGCGAGTAACAAAGCACGTGAAGGAAAAAGTTAGTGCACCAACTCTGTGGACGCCTATGGCGCCATGTCTCAGTGTTATTAGTACACATGTGAGTGTGTCTATGAGTGATAGAGAGAGATGGTGAATGAATGACTGGGCGATCTTAGTCAGTCAATAACTGCTCTTGAAAAACTCTGAAGACTAGCCTTTAAAGTTGACTAAAACACATCCTAATAAACCAATAGGCTATACAATACTAAGATATCCCCGGTTTGTTCCTTTGTATTTACAATACTCTGATTTTTTATAAAACAATATGCTGTTGCAATAGGGCTAACTCCTAAGTCTGCGGTGAATGCCAGGTGAGTGAGAGACAGGTGAGTGCGAGACCGGTATCCCACCTGGTTCCCCAGGAACTCGTCCAGGTGTCGGAGCTCGTTGGTGTCAGTGATCTCCCGTTCCAGAGAAGCATTCCACTGCTCAGAGACTCGAGTGGCTCTGCTGATCCCGACGGTGGGGTTACGACGCCGCCCGCTGCCCTCGCTCGACAAGGAGTAGGAGTACGGGGAGGAGGGAGAGATGGCTGTAGGTGAGGGAAGGATATGTGTGTGTGCTTTTAGATAGAGGGGACACGTGGTTGAGATTATACCATTGACCACTAGATGGTAGTAAAGAGGAGACACGATTTGAAAGCACTAAAATTGCTTCATCATAGCACAGTAATAGGGCTCTATTTTAACTAAACTAACCCAATGGTAAATCTAAAAGCAGGCAGTAGCGCTATATGTTCAGGGGTGTGTCAGAAATATTTTTGCTATTTTCACTATCACAATTATCGGCGCACTTGCTGGCGTTGGCGCGAAAGGGCTGGGTTTTGATGAATTAACAAGTTGTGGGTGTGTCGAGGCTTGGCCACTCACTGGCCAATCAGAACATGCTCCATGGCGAAATATGTGGTTGCTTCAGGTTGTGTATTTACAATCTTTTATGTATTGCCTTGGAATCAACTCCAATTTCAATGTAAGTCCGTTATAGTTTATTAAATGGCTTACAGAAACGAAATGTAGACCTATCCCATCTTTGCTAAACTTGAACCCATTTTCAGTCCACATTGTTCTAAGTAATTGCATGGCTTCAATAGCATTCACTCTGATATAGGGGCTAGGCCTACTGTAAATGGCCTTATGGCTGAGCATGGACATGCCAAAAAAAAGCAAGATTAAATTCATTATTGATAAGGCCTAAAAAGGTAACGAATAATTCTAATCAAATTCTAAACAAAACGACAACTTGTTTTAAATAGGCTATGTCACACTTACAGGCACCATCATTTCTCCCCGTGGGCATATAATATTAAAACAACACAGACTATGGAGGGTTTTACGCACATCCAAAACGGGACCTGCATGACTAAAATAATGTGGGCCTGCTTACAATGCATAGATAAAAAGGTTAATGTCAGCTCACTGTTTTACTCCTCTCAAACTTGATATTTTAATAAAGCTTTGGTGATTAAGATTTATTTACAAGCGGTCTCAGGAGTTAAAACCTTTATCAACAGTCTTGACTACTTCGCGATTGCATTCGGCAGACAAAAAAAATCAAAAAATAATTGAGGGGAGGCTATGCTTGGCTTTTCATCAAATAAAACGAAATGGGAAAAAACATTAGGTTTTTGGTTCTAAATATGAACATTAGTCTACTCTTGCTCCATGCGCATATGGGCAGTGTGCGTCACAGCTGGATAGGCTGAGTTTCCGCTGTCAAAATTCATGCCATAACCAACTGCGTTACCGCTAAAACCAACTTTTGGTTGGTCTTAAATATCCCTATCAGCGTTGCCTGAAATTAGCACCTTGGATCATGTTTTTAAGGACACACCTCAAATATTTCCACCCCGTCCATCTGAGCGAAAGCGAGCTGATATAAGACAGGTAAAATTGCCGAACATGGCGTTCAGGCTGGAAAATGCCAATAAACTAGTTTTTACATGACGAAATTGCAAAGTAAGGTGCGTTTGACACTAGCGCCACCTTTACGCTTACCGAAAATAGAGCCCTAAAGCTGGAAAGTACAGTGAGCAGTTTACGGGACTACTACCTCCTTTTTCAGATTGTGTATTCTCATTAGTCAGCTTCCCATACTCAGGTGGCTGAGAGTCTTTATTGGGCCATTTCTTCATAATCTTACTGAAAAAGCCAAGCCTGTGGAACACAAAGAGTTAACATTTAACCATGACAAAGAACATGGTATCATCTCCATTCAATATACAGGAAATAACTAAAAAAAACTAATCAATTATGGTTTACAGCCTCCCGTGTCCCGGTTGGCTGAATGGCCTTTACTTCTCAGGTGTGGTCGGCTGGGATTGGCTGCAGTCTTTGATGATTGAGCTCTCATTTGTCTTCATGGCTGGGAGGCTGAACCGTCCCACATCCGTGGTAATATCTGAAGATTTCTGAAACAGAGATAAAACAATTACTGAACATCAAAGATTGTATGACATGAGACAACAACCATGCTGGGGGCAAATCAGATGCATCATTATTAACCGGTAACATGTAGGGAATGATGGTGCCTAGAAAGTATGAAAATATTGATGAACAGAGATGTCATGCCCTTTCCCCAGTGTCTGTAGGTGTAGCACTAGCACTAGCACAAAACTCCCAGGCCCAGCCACACCAGTTAGTTAGTTCCAATGATATATACCCTAGATAACGGATAGGGGGCGATGTTTTCAAGCCACTGCACAGCCATATTTGTGCTCCTCCATTGTAAAAAAGATTTTGTAAGCTATAGAAATGCCTTTAATGTCTACATTCGTTTTTTGAGAAGTAATATTCTATTACAGACAACTTAAAGCTAGAATCCTTAGTTGCTACATACATTTTTTGACTTATAAATTAATGATATATACCTATTGATTCTTGAAGAATATACCTTATAAATGCCTCATGAGCTTAGTTCAACTGTCGTACACCATCAGAATCCAACATAAGCTTTTTTTACTTCAATGTTTGTATACAACGTACATGTAAACAAACACTGTACATCCTCAAAACACGTTTTTTTTTACCACATGGATGGCCAGTCGTTGCATCCATAGCTCTGTCTATGAATTTGAGTGGTTACATTTCTCCAGGCCCATCCCTCTGCTTTTTTTTATTGTTTTAACTGCGGATTCTAGCTTTAAAGCATTCTTTAAAATTATATTATGTCAAATGAACATAAAAATAAACTATAAAACATATTCCTTTAAGTATAATTTTTTTGGAAAGTACTAATGTTACTGTCCCCACTACAACAAATAAATACCTAAATACATGTATTTTGTCCTTGAAACATTGGATTGAAATACTGTAGAGTACTGCTCCTTCTGAGGAGTACCAATATGGCGGCCGGTGGCTTCAAAGCCTATCATTGACCAATACATAGCATCATCAATCAAGGGTTTGTATAAATCATTGGTTAGTCCCCATTCCCCAGCAGGAGCGCCTGTCTGCTTGCAGCCACCACACCCATAGCCGAGTTCAGTCTCTCCCCCTTCCTTCTCCCTGAAGAGTGCGCTCTTACAGTAAACTCCCCACATGGATGTCAAAGGAATGGACTGGAATAAAAAGGAATATGGGTGAAACTCCCTCTTAACCCATGTTTACACCTTCAGCAGCATCATGAGCCTAACCTCTGCCTGACCTATGACCTTTTTTGCTGTAGCCAATTGAGCGCAGCAATGAACATCACAGACTACAATATTAGTTATCGTTGTGTATCTTGATTGACACGGACCCATGTGTTATATGAGAGGCTATAGTTTGTAGAACAAAAAAACGATTCTCTCTCTACCAAGAGGGGATACACACAAGGACAACTGTGGAACTAGTCCCATTACTACTCCCATAACATTGAACTTCTATCAATGGGATGTGAACTGTACATGGTTTTGATGATGGTGTTGTCTAAACATTGTGACAAAAAAGGTCAGAAACAAGCTGCAGCAGCCAGAGAGCCATCCAGCCACTGTGTTTAGGTGGCAGAGGATGGTCCATGGTTGTGACTAGCTCTGTTTTCTGGGTCTTTCCCAGGCCTGAAGAAGAGAAGCCAGTATATAGACCCCGCAGAACACTGTAGAACATTGCAGACCCATCCAGCTGGGGACTGTGAGACGAGGTGAGATGAGATCCTGTCTTAACATACACAAAGCCTGCAGTGCATGCACAGCAAGAGAGTAATTCAGCGTGCAGTGCCAGGGCCCGTAGTAGTTTTCCATAGTCAGGCCGGTTGGTACCTGGACCTCAGGTTTGCGTGGACGGATGTCGACCTCTGATTGGCCGGACTGGCCCATGCCACTGACCCCCGGTGGGGGGCTCATGGGGGGGAGGGGGAAGGTCCAAAACTCGCTCTCCAAGGAACTCTTAAGGTTAAACATCAGCCCGCTGCGGGCGTAGGCTAACCGCCGCTTGTGATTGGGCCGCTTGCGGGAGCGCACCCTGACCTATGGTGGCCAGGAGAGGTCAAGAGGCACTGGTGAAGTGAGGTGAGGGACTGAGAGACCCCTCACTGTTCAAGGGTTGTGTTCAGTAGGAACAAAATGGGAAAAATACATTTTGAAACAGGCAGTAGCATGTAGAATTTTCTTAGTTAGAAAGTTGGTTATCAGAAGGTGTACAATGTAAGTTTACTTTTAATCCGTCTATCGGAATATTTAAAGACATGGCATATGAGGGTGCAGTGGGTTGGACTCATCAATACATTTAGAAAAAACCTTTACCTAAATGAAAATTTATATTTTCTTTTACTTCATATGTCAATGTTGGGGTGGTGCTGGAGATTATGAATATGAAGTTGAAAATGTTTGAAATGTCCCTTTAAAAATGGGAAATGATCCTCCATCATTAAGACAGTGGATGAATCAAATGCATTATTATTTAAATATTGAAAAAATGTGGGCTACAGATAAAATAGAACAATTGGCATAAAGTATAACAAGCCCAAGAAATATACAGAAAAAAATAATAATAATTATGAGAACAAAAAAGATGGGTATGGCTACTGTGGGAACATGTACGTTTGAGCAAGTATGATGTCATTGATGTTTGTTGAAATTGATGTACGTCTGAGTTGGTGTTTTTTGTCTGTATTCGTCTTTTTTCTTTATGTCGAAGGTTGGGCATTAAGTCCCAGCCAACGTCATGTCTAGTTTAGTGGATCCATTTCTGTAAAATGTTAAGTTGTCTATTGTCTTTTGTCCCCCCCAAAATATATGCTGAATGTTAGTTTTCCGGTTCTAAAATGTTTTCCCGCTTCGTGCCTACTGACCAGCTGTAGAGTGGGATCCATCCATGTGTGTCAACAGAAGTAGCAGGGGGGTTAGGACATACAGTAACAACACTTCACAAAGCACGTCACATAGCATCTTAGCTACCTGTGTGTGTGTGACATGTAATGAGGCAATAGTGTAATAGAATAACATTAATGACAGTCACATCCAGTATAAGAGACCAGTACCTCAGTAGCAGAGTGATGTGCTGTGATACGTAATAATGTAATAGTGTAATAGGAATAATGACATTATGAGAGAAGAATACCTCAATAGTACATCGCTACAGTGTAGGAATGAACAGTAGTAGAGTAGCAGTACCTCAGTAATGGAGGAAGAGCTGTCTGAGCCTGACCCTGAGGAGCTGAACTTGGACACGTTGTCCAGCGAGATAGACTTCCATTGGTTCCTGAGTTAAGAGAGAGAAATATGTCAACTGTAAACTCTTTGTTAGAATTCAAGACATTTCTATAAGATACTGATGAAAGATAAATCAGAGAATGGGGAAAGAAAGATAACTTCATGTATATCTACCTAGTGATCCGAGATCATATTGAGGGGGCATTGAAGGGTCTTAACATGTATGGTTGAGAGAAACACTAAGACATGACATAACCAGTGATGTAGAGGTAAGAAAATAGAGGTAAGAACGGCTGATTGCCGTTCGCGGTGAGTAAAGTAACGCTCCCTATACTTTCAATGCCTTTTTCCGCAAAAGGTGGGTCAACACTTGCGCAAAATAAAAAAGGCGCGTAAATAGCGTTTACCCTCCACTACACCACTGGACATAACATTATGATAACATGACATATTATGTCATACTGCAGCAATCCCTCCATGCGTTTATCCCTGGGCCGCTGGATCTCAGGGTTGGAGTCTTCCGGATGTCCTCCCTCCCTCCTGCTCTTCCACCTCTTTGCATGCTCCTTGATGTCCTCCATGTGGGAGTAGCGCTCCAGGTTGCGTGTGTAGTGGGACAGGCTGGTTAACGCCCCTTCTCCGTCCCTGTTAAAAAACATAATATGGATTGGATTTATATAGTGCTTTTCCACCCAGCAAAACACTTTACATTGAATAATAACAGATTCATAGAATATTTTTCAGCAGGTGCTAAAAGCTCTTTTAAAATTTGCATTGGGGTGGGTGGGAGACTGGGAGCTCACTTCATCCATTACCAATATGTAGAGAGCAACCACCTGGGGGATGCCACTGCCATGGCAGCCATTCTGCACCATAAAGCTCACCACACATCAGCTATCACAGTGAATAGGTCAGAGGTGAAGGATGGGGTGAGCAGGACAGAGGTGAGGGATGGGAGAGAATCATACAGTACCTGCCAGCCTTGGGGTCCAGGGGAAGGGAGAGAGGTATGTTGAGAGGAGGCGGAGAGCCTCTACCCTCTCTCTTCTCCGACTCAGTGTTCCTCTGGGTGGCTTCCTGTCTGCTAACCTCTGGGCCTGGTTTGGGGCTCCTATTGGGGCTGTGTTCCAAACTGTGCTGCCTCGTCAGCTCCTTCCTCTCCAGGCTTTTCTGGTGCAGGGTCTGGAGCTTGGGTGGTAGCTTGGGCAGGGGCTGGGGCTTGGACTGGGGCTTGGACTGGGGCTTGGAAGGGAGCTGGGGAGGCGAGGGCTTCTCTCCCTCAGCCTTTGAGCTAGAAGTAGGGTCAGAAATGTGTCCTGGTCAGAAGAACTCAGGGCCCTGAAGTTCAAAGTTGTATAACTTTATTATAAATTTTTAGGTTAGAAAAAGACGAGTCTTAGTACCCGTTTCGACCTTGTTTGTTCCTGATCAGTGTCTGCATCTTCTTGATGCTGTTCCTCTTTCTCAGGTAGTCTGTCCTCTTCTGAGAGCCTCGCCACGCTGCCTGGATCACTGTGGCCGCACGGCATCTGTTGTCCGCCCGGAACGCCCGCCAACATCGCTATAGGAGAAGATGAGATCAACTTTATTGTCCCTGAGGGGAAATTTGTCTAGGACAGAGTAGCCGCACCACTGTAAAAATACACGAATCTTACCCTACCACACAGAGGCACAACCTTGGCAGAACTTTTTATACAGTGCTCTCTGGGCTGGGATAGGTCCTGTACACATTGTTGTGATTTTAAGCAATAGATTCCAGTGTGATCATGGTTTCTGCCATATAGGTACAAACCTGTATTCTGATGGCGGCGTCTTTCTTGTAGAGGAAGTGGTTCCTGATGAGACAGGCCCTGAACCAGCGCTGCAGGATGATGATGTGACGCATCACTTCCTTGTTCAGGGTGTCCTGGAGATGCTGCTTCTCCCTCCCCTTCAGGAACACCTGGGAGATAAAGGAGATTTAGATGGGACTACATGTTTAAGATAAACCTAAATAAAGTCAAATGATGCTTTCAGTTGTTTGAGCAAGAACTACTAATCACTTTTTGGCTTTTCAATGGAGGCTATAATGTAATGTGTTACCTTGGTTTTCCCAATCTGGTATGTGCTCGGTCCTAGGCCCATCTTATGCAGCAGATTAGCTATGTTCTCTGGTGCTGTGGTTGCTTCTTTAGGCAGCAGCACTTTGAACTGCTCTAAGAACTCCTTGAAGGTGAACTTGGCGTTGTAGCCAGACTTCTGGATGCGTACCGTCTCCAACATGCCTGTGTACCTCAGCTGCTGTTGCACCAGAGCATTGTCAAACAGCATCTCCTTCTACAAGGAACACAAAGTTGCATCAGTGAATGCATTAAACAGATAGAAATTCTGTCATCAATACTGACTTTAAGTCTCTCTGGATATAAGCGTCTGCTAAATCAGGGGTTTTCAAACCGCTCCTCGGGGACCCCTGATTTTCCATGTATTTGAACTATTCCAGAGCTAGCTCACCTGATTCAACTTGTCAACTAATCATCAAGCCCTTGACTAGGTGAATCAGGTGAGCTAGTTTAGGGATACAACAAAATGTGATACGTCTGGGGGTCATCAAAGAAATTTGAAAACCACTGTGCTAAATGACCAAAATGTAAAAAGGGTTGGGGTCAATTCCAGTCAATTCAGGAAGTACACTGAAATTCCAATTCTCTTCAATGCATTTCAATTAGAAAAATTCGGAATTGGAATTTGGTTTACTTGTTTAACTGAAATGGTATTGACCCCAACCCCGGTAAATACTGTATCATCCTATGTCTTCCCTTACGGAAAAACCACATGAATTTCACATGATCACATGTGAAGTGTTTCAAAAACATGTTTTCACATGTGAAATTTCACGTGAAATGATGTGATTTTCCACATGTGAAATCGTGTGGTTTTTCTGTAAGGGATAGACATAGACAATCTTTATAAAGTACATGTAACCCTACCTTCTCAGCATTGGAGCGGATACAGCGGATGAAGAAAGGCTCTGCTTTTCCCACAGTCTCCAGCAGCTTATTGAGAGACGCCTGCAGAATAACATTACAATATATCACACCAGTCAGTGGCGTGTGTGTGTGTGTGTAGTCTTCAGGAGCTTATTGAGAGACACCTACAGAACAACATTACAATACATCACACCAGTCAGTGGCGTGTGTGTGTGTGTGTAGTCTTCAGGAGCTTATTGAGAGACACCTACAGAACAACATTACAATATATCACACCAGTCAGTGGCGTGTGTGTGTGTGTGTAGTCTTCAGGAGCTTATTGAGAGACGCCTACAGAACAACATTACAATATAGCACACCAGTAAGTTGAGGTAATGCTGTTTACAGCTCCCGTTAATGATATTTAATGGAGTTTTAATGACACACACACAATGCTCAGACAAGCTCATTGTTCTGGTCAGCTCTCAGTGGGAGGAGGCTGGTAGGGGTGTGTGTGCCTGCATGTGTGTGTGCATGCTGCCTGCGTGTCTGTGTTGGGGAAGCAGACCTGGAACTGAGCGCTGATGCTGGGTGGTTTCTTCCTCTGGTGTGGGTGGAGCAGAGAGCGGGAGGTGCTGTGATGGAGCGTCAGGCCTACGATGTGCTTCAGGGACCGAGAGTTCATCAGATTCTGTAGGATGTACCACATCAATCAATCAATCATCATCACACATTGTTACACAACTACAATGACACAGTGTTGTAATATGGTTATAGATGGCGCCAGGAGACTGTCCTGTCCATGTGAGCTGTAAAGACAGTACAGAAGTAATGTAAACCAATAAAAAGACCCAAGAAATCACTTCTTTGATAATGGCAGCTACTAATACATTACCTTAGGAATGACCTGCTTGTGCTTGCTCGCCTTGCTCTTCCTAAGGGAGAAAAGACAGAGAGATGGTGGTGAACTGGATTTTACAGGCAAGATAGATGAAAGTTATTATGTATTTATGGCTTGAAAATGATAGCGTTGGCTACAGCAGGCTAGCCTTCAGCATAGTTTCTTGTTGACAATGTACAGTATGTAACATCCTATCAACAACCTGCCTCCTGCTTTTTCCCCACCAGTCCACTTACTTCCTTTTCTCGTAGTTGGCAAAGACGTCCTCGAACACCTCCAGAGGATTGTCATCGGACCGATCGAACGAGAAGTCCAGTAGGGAGCTGTGGCTAAAGAAAAATGTTAGTTGAATTGAATGACGCAATCTCTATTGCACTCCACACTGCCCTTTCCCACCTGGACAAAAGGAACACCTACTTGAGAATGCTGTTCATTTGACTACAGCTCAGCGTTCAACACCATAGTGTCCTCCAACCTCATCACTAAGCTGCTAAGAACCCTGGGACTGAACACCTCCCTCTGAAAATGGATCCTGGACTTCCTGACTGGCTGCCCCCAGGTGGTGAGGGTAGGCAACAACACATCCGCCACGCTGACCCTCAACACGCGGGCCCCTCAGGGGTGCGTTCTCTGTCCCCTCCTGTACTTCCTGTTCACCCACAACTGCGTGGCCGCGCACGACTCCAACACCATCATTAAGTTTGCAGACAACACGACAGTAGTAGGCCTGATCACCGACAACGATGAGACAGCCTATAGGGAGGAGGTCAGAGACCTGGCCGTGTGCTGCCAGGACAACAACCTCTCCCTGGACCAAAAGGCTCCTGAACAGCTTCTACCCCAAAGCCATAAGACCGTTAAACCGGTAATCAAATGGCTACCCGGACTATTTACATTGACCCCCTTTATTATTTATTAATCTAATTTGTTTTGCACTAATTCTCTTGCACTGGCTCTACGCACACTCACTTGACTCTGCCCACGCACTCCCACATACTACACTGACACACACTCTCACATACGCTGTTGCTGCTACTCTGTTTATTATATATCCTGATTGCCTAGTCACTTTTACCCCTACCTACATGTACATACTGTATTACCTCAATGACCTTGTACCCCTGACTCGGTACTGGTACTCCTTGTATATAGCCTTGTTATTGTTTTTATTGTGTTATCTCCTTTTTTATTTAGCAAATATTTTTCTTACTTTTTAACTCTTCATTGTTGGGAACGGGCTCATAAGTAAGCATTTGCAAGTCTACATCTGTTGTATTCGGCGCATCTGACCAACAAACTTTGATTTGATGTGTTTGGCTGGAACAAAAACCTGCCCCCACATCAGCCTTCTGTGGATACGATAGCACACCCCTGGACTAAGGCCTTCTGTCTCTTCTCTTTAGATGAAGGTGAAACATGCTCAACTATAACGTTGCAACTGTAACGAGTGCCAGCCTAGTCTCTCTCCTCCTACCTGGACAGTCTCTGCAGAGCTGAGCTCGGTCTCCTATTCAGTTCCCCTATAGAGTGACTGGAGGTGCGTTTCGCCAGACCTGTAGAGTACACAGTCCTCGCCATGTTAGTCATCTTATCATCGTCACCATAGTGTAGTAAGTCACATCTCAAGAGACTCATAACCTGACCAGAAAAAATAATAATATCTGACCAATTACAGTTATAGGCTAGTTATATGCTACTAAAATGTTTTCTCTGGCCCGGCCAGTTCATGTAAACATGAAAACCCCTGATTGGACAGGTCTAGGAGAGACGGTATATCGAAAGAGCAGCCTACCTGTGACTGCCCGGCGGCTTCCGGCCTTGTTGAAGGCCGCTATGATGCGTATGGTGGCCCGGAGGATGCCCCATCGGAACACAGCCACTGGGTCTGACCCAATCAGCTGACGCATGAATGCCCGCTCGCTGCTACGTAGCAACGCCACGATGTCCGGACGCATGTGTTCCGTGTTCTTCTTCCGGAAATCCTGATCGTGATAAGGAGAGGAGGAGGAAGGGAAGAGGGAAGGAGAGGAGATGAGGAGGGAGAGGGGTTGAGGAGGGAGAGAGAGGGACACAGGGAGAGGAAGACGACAGGATAAAGAAAGGGTCAGAAGGAGGACAGTTAGCTGTGTGATGTCCTTTCGACCGACAGTGTCGACTAATAGGTTGCTCCCCTTGCCTTTCTGTACCTTGATCTGGTATTTGACCGTCCCAGCGAAGTGTTGGATGACGAAGGCTGGTAACTTCACTGTGGTGGGGACGAAGTACGGGTTGTCTTGATGCTGCTGCTTGAACTTGTCTAGCAGAGTGTCATCCGTGGCCTGAGGGAGACTAAGGACACAAAGACTGGGTTAGGTAAAAGCAATAGAGGAAGCCTCTTTTCACCTGTCCACTTCCTCTAAATCAGTGCTGAAGTAACTACAGACTACTGAAACACAGACCTTGCAGACAGGGCCAGGAGTTTCTCCTGACCATGTGACCTGACTAGAAACACTCCTGGGCCCTAGTTTAGTTTTAGGTTGAAACTCTTGGCCCTCCTAGACTTACTTGCTCTCCTCATCAAGTAGGTGGAACAGCCCAGTTGGTTTCTGGCTGATCAGATGGATACAGCCCAGGTTGTCAGTGTAGTCTATGGTGCTCCAGCTGATCCCCTCTGCCTGGTACTCCTTCTGGAATAGATGCGTGAATAGATGGATGGATGACTAAATTCATGAATGACTTTATTAATTCTCAATTAGAGATGATTTAACTTCACATGAAGGTACCCTTTTATGGGGTGAAGGGTTTATAACGCATTCAGTTGTGCAACTGATACGTATCCCCCTTTCCTTTCCCTTATAGAGCTCACCTGCTCCAGGTTGAAGATGTGCTGGTTGAAGTAATACTGTAGTTTCTCGTTGGCGTAGTTGATGCAGAACTGTTCAAAGCTATTTGTCTGGAAATCCTCAAAACCAAATATATCCAGGATACCTATGGACAAACACTAAAAGAAAATGAATAATCTTCTTATGAATTTTGATAATTGAAAAGTAAAATGCGTAATAATAAAAGTAATGATAGATACACAATGAGTAACTAAACAGCAGTGCTTACGCTATGTAACCACTTTTCCTTTACTAATCCTTCTAAAGCTGGGTTGAAATGTTGTCAAACAAATGCAGGGGCAGCACTTTTGACTGGAAGTGAAAGTTACAGATTGTGGCGTTAAAGCTGCAGTGAAAGGGTTAGGGTAGGGGTTGTCTCTGGGTTAGGGTTAGTACAGTGAATGGTAGTCTTACAGAGACGGCCTCCTCCATGTCTCGTCTGTTGAGTAGAGCGTGGTTGATGTGCAGGACGATCCAGTCAAACAGAGAGCTGTACAGAGACATGGCCATGGAGTCCCGCGCTGTCACAGCCTAGGAAGGACAATAACACGACAATGATCGTCACAGCCTAGGAAGGACAATAACAAGACAACCATAGTCACAGCCTGGGTAGGACAACACCAAGACAACAGTAGTCACAGCCTGGGTAGGACAACACCAAGACAACCATAGTCACAGCCTGGGTAGGACAACACCAAGACAACCATAGTCACAGCCTGGGTAGGACAACAACAAGACAACCATAGTCACAGCCTGGGTAGGACAACACCAAGACAACCATAGTCACAGCCTGGGTAGGACAACACCAAGACAACCATAGTCACAGCCTGGGTAGGACAACAACAAGACAACCATAGTCACAGCCTGGGTAGGACAACACCAAGACAACCATAGTCACAGCCTGGGTAGGACAACACCAAGACAACCATAGTCACAGCCTGGGTAGGACAACAACAAGACAACAGTAGTCACAGCCTGGGTAGGACAACAACAAGACAACAGCAGTCACAGCCTGGGTAGGACAATGACAAGACAACGTTATGGCCTATAAGATAACAGCAAGAAACACCACAAAAAAGGCTGCAAAGCCAACAAGAGCCATATAAGTCCACAACACCAGGGCACCAATTTTTTTCTGACCACACATGACCTGACAAGGAAAATCTCCAGATCCTGGCTATAACTACTGTCTGGAGTTTTCCCTCTCATGTCATGTGAGATAGAAAAAGGAAAATAAATGTAACTGGAGTTAGAACCCCTACCTCTTTGAGAGTGTAGTGTAAAACTAGTTTGTCATTGGCTGTTTTTTGTTTCCTCTTGGTCAAAGCCTCCCCCAGCAACTCCTGTTTGACCTATGAGAACAGAGCAGACTGTCAGTTAACGCAGTGTACAGGTGTTCCTCTAAGCAGGTGAGACTAAAGATTGATTGATTCCTCTACCTTGAGTAGGTGAGATAATAAAGATATTGATTGAGTGATAGATTGATGCCTGTACCTTGAGCAGGTCAGACAGGGTTGAGAGGACGTCTGCTGGCCCCGCCTCCAGCTCCTGGCCATCTTCTGATTGGGTGTACGTCACGTTGCCCAGATACAGGATGGCAGAGAGCATGGAAAATATCCTACACAGACACGCACAATTATTATACAATACACCTTTATTACTGATCATATCCTGCACAAGAAAACATAGGGCACAATACACCTGGATAACAGTCTCACACACCAGGAGCGCCACTCACTGGCTAGTAGGAGTTATTGCATCATCCTTATTTCAAGGACACAATACACATATACACACACATTATCATTTACGAGCTACCATATAATTACATAGAGAAACAACCCCAGTAGGCCACCAGGTGAGTAACAAAGATCTACTGTTCCACCTGCCACACCCTAAGGCCATGATCAGATGTCTGCTGCTGAAATGTTCCCTGCATTTTTCTCCTGCTAGGACTGACAAGCTCTAACCTGCTGTGGCCATGGGGGAGAGAGAGGTGTAATTCTTGGAGAGTTGTAATGTTAAATACAGACCGTTTTAGTTCCATCAGGTTTGACTGTGACAGAAAAAGAGATATCATCAGGGATCATGAGAGATGACAAGAGTATGGTACAGGGGACGTAAACAGGAGAGGATAAGGTTTCTGAGAAACTGGTTTATAGAGATCTGGCGCTCTCAATTTTGTCATTATCTCAGTCTCCCTCGGTCTCCTTCACGCTTTCTCGTTTCGTTGCACACGCTCTGTCTCGCTCCCCTGAAGAGTTAACCCTAAAAGTATCCATACGTACTGTTTTTTAGTGGAGGGCAGGAATCCCACCATCTCCATGGCCTGATGAAGCCTCTTGAACTCATGTCTGAGATCCTCAGCGTCTTCTAAATGAAAGTTCTCCTGAGCAGTGACAGAGCTAATTAATTGAAACAAACTTTTAAAAAATGTCAATCCACTTAAAACAGAAAAAAAATAGAGAAAATAGAGAGACAATTGACAGAAAATAAAGAGAAAATATGAAGACAAATATGCTTTTAGCATCTGTATTGCTGACCTAGAGTACAGGCTTACAGACTGTTGTAACTTTAATGGGTTACAGAGCTAATGTTTACAGTGAATTCATTGAGCTATTGAGTTATTTACATATGTAAGACTAATTGTATTAGAATTCATGTGATGGAGGTTGAGAGAACTATGTACATATTTCTGTTGTATTGGTTAGTATTGGATTACGCTATTGACTGCAAGTACCAGAATGCCTTGCGACAGGAAGTAAGAAAAACGAGAACGCGCCAGTTATGTACAAGTGATTATCCTGGCTTTCGCTAGCAACTTTCTTTTATTGTTTTTAAAATCTAAAGCAGTAAAATGTAACATGAACAAGTATTATTACTAAAAATAAGCTTTCATCTCACAACCGACGTCCCGAGTCATTACTTTGAAGATAGTTATTCTATACAAACAGGTATTACCCTGATGACAGACAGACGTGCACTAACAGATCATAATGTAACAGTCAGAGCCACATGATAGGGCAGTTTAGACTAGAGATGAACTCTGACACTAAGTCACCCTATTCCCTACATAGTGCACTACTTTTTATCAGGGCCAATGGCACCCTTTTACCTATATAGTGCACTACTTTTGATCAGGGCCAATGGCACAATTCCCTACATAGTTTGCACTACTTTTGACCAGAGTCATATGGGCCCTGATCAAAAGTTGTGCCCTATATAGGGAATAGGGTGCCATTTGGGACACAACATTAATAATGAATACAACAATACAGTTGAGCGCTCCAGACCAGGCTTTCGTATGAAAAGTTATACAAGTAATGACTTCCATACAGTTGAAATCGGAACTCAACTGAACTGGTGTTTACCCTGTGTTACTGTGTGATTGTGTGTGTCTGTGTGTGTGTGTGTGTGTGTGTGTGCGCGCATATGTGTGTGTACCTGTTGTAGGTATGTGTATTCTTCAGGCTGCAGCAGACTGAACTCTCTCTGCTCCTCCTTGGACGCTCCCACCAGCAGGTAGTAGAACACATGGTAGTTCCTGGAGGTCAAGGGTCAGAGGTCATACTGTGTGTGTTTCAGTCAGAAGCCCCCACCAGCAGGTACTAGAACATGTAGTAGTTCCTGAAAGTCAGATGTTAGAGGCTATACTGTACTGTAGAGAGGGCCAGGAGTTTTTTCTGACTGCATGACCTGACCAGGAAAAATTCCAGGCCTTAGTTATAGGCAACAACTACCGTAAGGCTCTGGGTATTTCATGGTCAGTAAAAACATAGGTCCCCAGTCATAGACTGTTAATCATTAGTGTATATATAGTGCATGAATCAGTAATAAACATTGTAACTAATTGATTCAAATGGTGTGATTGTGCGATTCGTCCTGTGTTTTGTATCATATTGTACAACAGCTGATGAAACTAACACTGTAAAAGTGTTACAAATAAAAAAAATCGGTGTTATTTCCTAATTTTGCTTGTTGAAAATACAATCTAAACAGGACCTTCTAATCAGCAGGTTTGCATGGGTGGGAGTTTCGGCTTTCCTGGTGACATCACCAGGCGGTAAATTGGTTAATAGACCAATAAAAAAAGAGTTCAAACCTCTCTGCCAATAACAGCCAGTTTAAAGTTTTCCCCTCCCCACTCAGACCACTCCCAGACAGTCCTAGCAAAACTCTTGCATGAGAAATTATTTTTCGCTAAAAAGCGATTTTTGTACAGTAAGGTACTTAACTGTTAACCAGTAATTATCTGATATTGATATAAAAAGGCTGCTTTGGGCCTTTAAAGCTGGAATCATAAATGGTGAAACCGCCACATCTGTTGGGGATATTACAACAACAAAGTTGCAGCAAACAAATACAATTTTCCCCCACCCCTCAGACATCATTGTACGCGCGATAGAACAGCAGAATATGTACAGCAATTTTTTTTACCACTCTACTCACCTCTGTTTAGTCAAATAAACAAAGGTGCTGTGCTGGGGGGGGGGGGTTTCCATTAGTTTCCATTTTGCAGCATGAGAGTAATGTGCAGCGGTGCTATCACTTATACCTTCTCTATGCTTTTCCGCATTCCTTGAATTAAAGTCTACTTCACTTTCATATTAAGTTACACTTCAGACCAGGGTTAAACTTTAAATAAGGGGACCTAAAAGAATAACAAGGAGCTCATGCTGTGTGTGTGGCATTAACCTCACAGCCTGTGAAAGTCTCCCGAGTGGCGCAGGGGTCTAAGGCACTGCATCGCAGTGCTAGCTGTGCCACTAGAGATCCTGGTTCGAATCCAGGCTCTGTCGTAGCCGGCCGCAACCGGGAGACCAATTGGCCCAGCGTCGTCTAGAGTAGGGGAGGGAATGGCCGGCAGGGAGGTAGCTCAGTTGTTAGAGCATGGCGTTTGCAACGCCAGGGTTGTGGGTTCGATTCCCACGGGGGGCCAGTATAAAAAAAAAAAAATGTATGCACTAACTGTAAGTCGCTCTGGATAAGAGCGTCTGCTAAATGATGTAAATGTAAAGTAAGAAGCAGAAAATTGCTTCAGAGAATAGTTGATGTGATGCTCCTATGACAAATGAAAAGCTTCTGTACAATTCATGATCTGAGATTGAGTCAAAGCGTGAATTTCCTGAATTAGTGTTGACACTTTCACAATGAACTGAGTCTTCTTGGATGTGCTCATTTCTACATCGCAAAGCAAGGACTCATTCAGTAAGGGACAGAGTCAAAATGTAGATAAGCAGGTGCAACTCTGGCTTTCCCTTGAATCATTCATTGATGTCAATAGCGCAAAAATGTTTGTCAAGCGCCAGGTCTTCCCTGCTAGTCCATCCATACCTGTGTGTGTGTGTGTGTCAGAGCTCTGCTAGTCCAGCCATACCTTTCACTCTTAGCTCTGAACACCAGTCGACACTTTTCCAGCAAGTACTTCTCAATTACTGCCCTGCAAGGGAGACAAACAGATCAATCAATACCAACAACTGATAGAAGTGTGGTTTGTGTACTTATGTCTGATTTGTAAAATAAAGCCAAATGGCTGTGCTGTGAACTAAAAAAAAGGTTATGACAGCAGTCATGTTAGAGACACTGGCAGCAAGGAACTACATAAATAAACCAATTAATTACAATGAGATTCAATTTTAGCCAGAAACTCACTGATGAAAATGTGATTGCCATTCAGTGAGGAAATATAGCCTGGTCCCAGATCTTTGTGCTCTTGCCATAAGAAGTTGGCAAGAGAGCAGAAACATACAGGCACCCAGGCAAACCAAAATAAACCAATTCACTGATTTAAAAGTGAATGGTATTTTGTTTCTGTGATGCTGCTATCATGCAGCGACAGTTGTTGCTATGGTATGAAATATGTCATGGAATACATGATAACACAAACACACTGCCTTACCCTCTCACCGACCCACTCTCCAGATAGTTGACCCGGATGAACTTCCCAAAGCGGCTGGAGTTGTTGTTCTGTGCAGTCTTTGCATTGCCAAACGCCTGTTTAGAAACAGAGCGAGAGGAGATATTATTTACAGTTACAAAACCTGATGAGGTACTGTAAAGGGTTGAGACTGCATCTTGGGAAGAGGTGGGATAGGGTGGGACACAGCCCTACTTTGTGCCTTATGTAAGTCGTTACTAATGACAGTACTGCACTTAAACCGTAATAACAGAACAACAGTGGTCTAAGCAAAGACAGTGCCTTCAGAAAGTATACATACCCCTCGACTTATTCCACATTTTGTTGTGTTACAGCCTGAATTCAAAATGGATTAAATATATTTTTCTCACCCATCTACACACAATACCCCATAACGACAAAGTGAAAACCTGTTTAGAAATTTTGGCAAATTTATTGAAAATGAAATACAGAAATATCTAAATTACATACACTACAGGTCAAAAGTTTTAGAACACCTACTCATTCATGGGTTTTTCTTTATTTTTACTATTTTCTACATTGTAGAATAATAGTGAAGAGATCAAAACTATGAAATAACACATAAGGAATCATGTAGTAACCAAAAAAGTGGTAAACAAATCAATATATATTTTATATTTGAGATTATTCAAAGTAGCCATCCTTTGACTTGATGACAATCAGTTGTGTTGTGACAAGGTAGGGGGGGGGTTTACAGAAGATAGCCCTATTTGGTAAAAGACCAATGGAAGACCCAGAGTTACCTCTCATGTTAACTTGCTGCATAGGATAAGTTCATTAAAGTTCCCAGCCTCAGAAATTGCAACCCAAATAAATGCTTCACAGAGTTCAAGTAACAGACACATCTCAACATCAACTGTTCAGAGGGGACTGTGTGAAATCAGGCCTTTGTGGTTGAATTGCTGCAAAGAAACGACTACTAAAGGACACCAATAAGAAGAAGAGACTTGCTTGGGCCAAGAAACACGAGCAATGGACATTAGACCGATGGAAATTTGTCATTTGGTCTTTGTGAGACGCGGTGTGGGTGAACGGATGATCTCTGCATGTGTATTTCCCACCACAAAGCATGGAGGAGGTGGTGTTATGGTGTGGGGGTGCTTTGCTGGTGACACCGTCTGTGATTTATTGATTCAAGGCACACTTAACCAGCATGGCTACCACAGCATTCTGCAGCGATACGCCATCCCATCTGGTTTGGGCTTAGTGGGACTATCATTTGTTTTTCAACAAGACAATGACCCAACACACCTCCAGGCTGTGTAAGGGCTATTTTACCAAGAAGGAGAGTGATGGAGTGCTGCATCAGATGACCTGGCCTCCACAGATGACTTGGCCTCCCCCAACCTCAACCAAATTGAGATGGTTTGGGATGAGTCGGACCACAGAGTGAAGGAAAAGCAGCAAACAAGTGCTCAGCATATGTGGGAACTCCTTCAAGACTGTTGGATAAGCATTCCAGGTGACACTAGTTGAGAGAATGCCAAGAGGGTGCAAAGCTGTCATGAAGGCAAAGGGTGGCTATTTGAAGAATCACTATTATTCTACAATGTAGAAAATAGTAAAAATAAAGAAAAACCCTTGAATGAGTAGGTGTTCTAAAACTTTTGAACAGTAGTGTAAGTATTCACACCCCTTAGTCAATACATGTTAGAATCACCTTTGCCAGTGATTACGGCTGAGAGTCTTTCTGGGTAAGTCTAAGAGCTTTGCACACCTGGATTTTACAATAGTTGCACATTATTCTTTTTTAAATGATTTTTTAAATTTGTCAAGTTAGTTGTTGATAGATTTAAGCCAATTTAAGTCAAAACTGTAACTAGGCCACTCAGGAACACGTCTTCTTGATAAGCAACTTGTGTACGTGCATTCACTTTCTCCACATTGTTACGTTACAGCCTTATTCTAAAATTGATTAAATACAAATCTACACACAATATCCAATTATGACAAAGCGAAACAGGTTTTTATATATATTTTTCTTACAAATGTATTCAAAATAAATAAAATACCTTATTTACATAAGTATTCATACCCTTTGCTATGAGACTCGAAATTGAGCTCAGGTGCATCCTGTTTCCATTGATCATCCTTGAGATGTTTCTACAACTTCATTGGAGTCCACCTGTGGTAAATTCAATTAATTGGACATGATTTGGAAAGGCACACACCTGTCTATATAATGTCCCACAGTTGACAGTGCATGCCAAAAGGTCGAAGGAATTGTCCGTAGAGGTCTGAAACAGGATTGTTGTCGAGGTACAGATCTGGGGAAGGGTACCAAAACATTTCTGCAGCATTGAAGGTCCCCACGAACACAGTGGCCTCCATCATTCTTAAATGGATGAAGTTTGGAACCACCAAGACTCTTCCTAGAGCTGGCCACTCAGCCAAACGGAGCAATCGGCGGAGAAGGGCCTTGGTCAGGGAGGTGACCAAGAACCCAATGGTCACTCTGACAGAGCTCCAGAATTCCTCTGAGGAGATGGGAGAACCTTCCAGAAGGACAACCATCTCTGCAGCACTCCACCAATCAGGCCTTTATGGTAGAGTGGCCAGACGGAAGCCACACCTCAGTAAAAAGGCACATGACAGCCCGCTTGGAGTTTGCCAAAAGGCACATAAAGGACTCTCAGACCATGAGAAACAAGATTCTCTGGTCTGATGAAACCAAGATTGAACTCTTCGGCCAGAATACCAGTGAAACCTGGCACCATCCCTACGGCGAAGCATGGTGGCAGCATCATGCTGTGGGGATGTTTTTCAGCGGCAGGGACTGGGAGACTAGTCAGGATCGAGGGAAAGTTGAACGGAGCAAGGTACAGAGAGATCCTTGATGAAAACCTGCTCCAGAGCTCTCAGAACCTCAGACTGGGGTGAAGGTTCACCTTCCAACAGAACAACGACCCTAAGCAGGCGGCAGGTAACGACCCTAGGGCGGCAGGTAGCTTAGTGGGTAAGAGCGTTGTGCCAGTAACCGAAAGGTCGCTGGTTCTAATCCCTGAGCCGACTAGGTGAAAAATCTGTCGATGTGCCCTTGAGCAAGGCACTTAACCCTAATTGCTCCTGTAAGTCGCTCTGGATAAGAGCGTCTGCTAAATGACCAAAAATAAAAATAATAAAAATAAGCACACAGCCAAGACAACGCAGGAGTGGCTTCGGGACAAGTCTCTGAATGTCCTTGTGTGGCCCAGCCAGAACCCGGACTTGAACCCATCGAACATCTCTGGAGATACCTGAAAATAGCTGTGCAGCAACGCTCCCCTTCCAGCCTGACAGAGCTTGAGAGGATCTGCAGAGAAGAATGGGAGAAACTCCCCAAATACAGGTGTGCCAAGCTTGTAGTGTCATACCCAAGAAGACTCAAGGCTGTAATCGCTGCCAAAGGTGCTTCAACAAAGTACTGATTAAAGGGTCTGAATACTTCTGTAAATGTGATGTTTTTTAAAACATTTTATACAGTTGCAAAAATGTCTAAAAAACTGTTTTTTCTTTGGCGTTATGGGTATTGTATGTAGATTGATGAGGAAAAATATCTATTTAATCCATTTAGAATAAGGCTGTAACATAACAAAATGTGGAAAAAGTCAAGGGGTCATACTATGGAGTATACACATACACACAGACTTTTATCTATGTAAAGTCCTGTGTAGCTCAGTTGGTAGAGCATGGCGTTTGCAACGCCAGGGTTTTGGGTTCGATTCCCACGGGGGGCCAGTATGAAAATGTATGCACTCACTAACTGTAAGTCGCTCTGGATAAGAGCGTCTGCTAAATGACTAAAATGTAAAATGTAAATGTAATACTTTCTGAATGCACTGTACACATATATTTGGCCTTGTGTTTTAGGTTATTGTCCTGCTAAACGGTGAATTTGTCTCCCAGCGTCTGTTGGAAAGCAGACTGAACCAGGTTTTCCTCTAGTATTTTGCCTATGCTTAGCTCTATTCTGTTTCTTTTTATCAAAAAAAAAAAAAATGTTCGACCGAGGGACCTTCCAGATAATTCTGTGTGTGGGGTACATAGGTGAGGTAGTCATTCAAAAATCATGTGAAACCCTATTGTTGCACACAGAGTGAGTCCATGCAACTTATTATGCGAGTTGTTAAGCAAATGTTTACTTCAACGAGACATATTCCCGAATGGATCGAACGGCGGCTTCCGGTAAGAGTCGAGGGGGAGGGGTATGTTTCCTTATAAACAATTCCTGGTGTACCGAAGTTGAAAACAACATTTCCACTTTGACATTATGGGGTATTATGTGTAGGCCAGTGACACAAAATATACATTTGATCAATTTTAAATTCAAGCTGTAACAACAAAAATGTGGAAAAAGTAAAAGGGATATGAATAATTTCTGAAGGCACTGTATGTGTTGTTGTGAGACATTAACTAAATCTGTTTGGCGGGTGGATACTGTATGTTTAAAAGGTCCAATGCAGCAGTTTAAAAAAAATCTCAATATCAAATCATTTCTGGGTAACTATTAAGTACCATACTATGATTGATTTCCATTGAAATAGTCAAAAAGAAACCAAAATAGCTTCTTAGCAAAGAGCAATTTCTCAAGTAAGAATTTTGCTATGACTACCTGGGAACGGTTTGAGTGTGGAGGGGAAAACGAAAATTAGGTGTTATTGGCAGAGGTTTGGAACTCTTTCTATTAACCATTTACAGCATGGTTAGATCACCATGGAAGGCAAAACACTGACACCGTGATGGTTTTCAGAGGGATGTTGTGATTATGACACCATGTCAATCTGAGATGGACTGATTTCATAATTACCACGTTACAGTCAGAGAGAGTCATAAGCACACTCACAATCAGAGTCCTGAGTGATAAGATGATTTTGTAGGCGAGTTGTAGGAAATACGCACCAGTTACTGAGAATAAAACTGAATTTTCAGGACTTTTTGGGGAGTAAAAATGTATTTCCATTCAAAATCCTATTTTCACTAACCCTTCACCCCAAAGCCTAAAATAGAATTTTAACAAATTCAGGACATGGATAAAAAAAAAAAAATCCTGACTTTTCACATTCTTTCTTGTTTTCTTACCTTGTCAGGATATTCTGGTCCTGATAATGTAGGAAAACATGCACGCGCACACACCCCCCTCCAAAAGTATTGGGACAGTGAACATATATTGTTGTTTTGGCTCTGTACTCCAGCACATTGAATTTGAAATGATACAACGACTATGAGGTTAAAGAGCAGACTGTCAGCTTTAATTTGAGAGTATTTTCATCCATATCGGGTGAACCATTTAGAAATTACAGCACTTATTTTACATAGTCCAGTCCTGTCCCGTCCAGTCCACCCCACCCCACCCCCCCATACACACACAGCTGTTTAGCTCTGGTTAATAGATGCATTCAGATAACACAATGGTTGACTAATCACATGTTACAGTTGTGTGAAGACACCAGGGTCGTATTAGGTAGGCTAACTCCGTAGCAAAAAATGTAGAAACAGCAACATGAAAATGACTATATTTCTTCTCAGACATTTTTAAAAATATTTTCAACACATTACATAAAATGACCGTCTAACTGGACATGTTTAGGTAGTTACCTCTGTTTACATTTTCCCCCCACCATTTTGGGCCCACTGAACATGACCCAGACTCCACCCCTACAGAAGAACAGTATTTGGGTTGAGGTGGTTGTGTTTTGGAGGATTCCAATGAGGGCCACAGTACAGTAGGGGATCCGGTCTTGACAGGACAGGGCTGTGCCTTCACAGGCCTCTATACAGCCTCCGTACACACTTTATTACTTTGAACACCCTGATCCTATCCCTCCTCTCCACAGTGCAGTAAACACTATGAGTTATCATCTTCTTTCAGATCTTTCAAACACAACTTTTACTTTCCACCAAGAAATATGTGGAAATATGTCTGGGCTTGTTCTGGTTTCTCCACTCCTCTTTCCCTCTCTCTCGATAGGGCCCGAACAGAGCAGCAGCCAACCCCTCCCTCACACAATAACCAGCCAATCAGCTACTCTCTCAAGCCATTCTTCTCCACAGCGAGGTGCCATCGCCCATCTATTGTTTAGCTCTTTTCCTGGTTTTCAATTCACTACAACTAACTGACAAAGAAATCAAGTGTAAATGTCAAACCTAGATATTAAATCAGAAAAAAATAGCCTTTTCTGTTCTGCACAAATAGGAACTATGACGCATGTGAGGGACAGAGGAACTCTGAAACAAATGAAACAAACCCAGAAAATGACGAACTAGACCCTAAACATAGGGACCTGGCTGCTAGAAATATAGTCAACAGCTCCTGGTCTTGTGTGTTTCTTAAAAATAGTGCTCCTAACCATACATCTCTGTTTGCCTCTGCTGTGTTCAAGGAAGTGACATGGAGCTAAACCAAAGAACAATTCAAAGAGAATAAATATCCAGCTCTAAATGATCACTGCCTGAGGGTTTGCTGTAGGCCAACTCTGGAATGACCAGTTTATTGTAGGCCTACGTCTCCTAACCATGTGAAGTGACTGTAGTTTTTGGCATGCTCTCAGATAGAGGGAAGTGGGGCCTAGCTCCCTGCAATCATAGCATTAACTCTCATAATGGGGAGTCCATCAGGACACCAGAGGTTTGTCCAAAACACTGTAGATAATCTGGGTTTGTATTAATAAAAATGTCTCAGAGTAGAAGTGCTAGCCTGACGACTCGCACTAAATTCTTCTGCTGCTCTGTTGTTTCGCTACATACTTTAGTCTGAGACTGCCATCACTGAAGTTGTTTGTGGTGATGAGGGGCAATAGGGGCCTTGTACAAAACAAAGTCATCATCGATGGGATCATTTCTAACCAATCACAGTATCAAAGCCAATGACGAACTTTCAAACTGCCTCTATACCCACGTGTGTTCTGGCTCTGGCCAAATCCAAAGGTTTCTGGACCAATCAGACGGCACCGAATGTGTTCGCATTCGGTGAAGGGTCGGGGAGGTACTCGGATCCAGACTCAACGCGGATAAGAAACTAACGTCCGTGAGCATGCCGTAACGTTTGGCCGGCGCAAGGAGTCTGGATAAGAGGCAATAGGAGTGCTGATCTAGGATCAGTTTAGCCTTTTAGATCATAATGAATAAGATTGGAGGGGGACACGGAGTAATCACATTACTTCCAAAATATGATTAGACTATAGTTTACTACATTGTCTAGAAATAAAAATGTATCACTCATATGTCTCCATTTGAACATCGTCCCACTCCTAAAAGGTAGGCTATAAAAAGAGCTCAAGATAAAGTGCAAGTCTCTCCAACTCTGCTCTCTTCAAACTAAGTCTAGTCTATTGGCTGATATAGCCCAGTAATACTGATAGCTTAATAGAATGGGCCACGTGAGAATCTCTGGTCAATTAACCTAGGCTATTTCTTAGGTTATTTTTGATATTGCCTATAGGGCACAAAATTGCTGGGACCATGGCTGGCAAGGGAGCTGCGTCACATATGCCTAAAATAACATTGCGGGACTGCGGTTGGGTTTGGGACCAGTTCTTGAGGTAACGGGAGGGAGTCGGACAGAAAGCCAGAGGGTGCAGTATGAAAAGCTGCGGGTGCGGGCGGGATGAAGAAATCGGTTGTTTATTAGTGCAGACTGCAGAGCAAGAGAAAATGGTTTTAAATCAACGTTCATCCTCATTAATGACTGGACATCATGCATACAATGTAATTACACAGTTATACCATTTTCCAGTGTAATGAGATCATGGATAATCATTAACTGAATACCGGCTAATGAAGACTTAGAGCGCAGAAGCACTGTAAACAAACAAAGCTGTAGTTAGTAACTACCCTGTATGGCTCCTCTGACTTCCTGACAAACTATTTTCCCTGAAGGGGGAAAGGAAGTAATACACATTATATAAACTAGGCTACTGTTTATTCTTGACCAGAAAACCATCAAGCTATGATGGACATTTGGTCAAAGGGAGTACGTGAGTGAGGTGGAAACCGAGCTGCACTTACTAACCAAATGTATTACCATATTAGAGATACATATTTCCCTCAGATTACACAGACCCACAAAGAATTTGAAAACAAGTCCAATTTTGATCAACTCCAATATCTATTAGGTGAAATACTAGTGTGCCATCACAGCAGCAAGATTTGTGACCCGTTGCCACAAGAAAAGGGCAACCAGTGAAGCACAAACACCATTGTAAATACAAACTATAATCATCAGTCTATTTATTTTCCCTTTCATACTTCCAACTATTTGCATTGTTACAGCACCATACATTTCCAGTAACATAACATTTGAAATGTCTCTATTCTTTCTAAACTTTTGTGAGTATAATGTTTATTGTTCATTTCTGATTGTAATTGCTGTTAACATGATTAGCACTATTATTACTATTGCTTAATTACAAACAGTCTAGAATATTCCTGTCTTTGACCATCGATATGTTTCCTTTGACAATCTAAGTGTTTTACTTTCCATGTCAATAAAGTATAGTGAACAAGAGCGCGAGACACACACTAGGAGAGGAAAAACTGAGATAACCGTCTGTCGGGAAATAAGTGAGAAAACAGAGACAAGAAACCTGTTGGACCTGTTTACAGAGATAAGAATAAGAATCTAGCTATAACTACCTGATGCGGCCTGCACTGCACCTTGGGTAGGGATGGGAACAGACTGCATCTTGGGAAGAGGTGGGATAGGGTGGGACACAGCCCTACTTTGTGCCTTATGTAAGTCGTTAATAATGTAAACATTATTCTACTTTGAGATTATGGGGTATTGTGTGTAGGCCATTGACACAAAATCTCAATAAAAAAAGTTAGCGCAAGGGAATTTTGTATTTTTTTTCACCCAACTTTGATCCTAAATCCAATGACATGGTTTAACTTTTTGTTGATTTCAAGTTGAATTCACGTTAGATGACAACTCAACCAAATGTAAATCAAAACTAGACGTTGAACTAACGTCTGTGCCCAGTGGGACATTTTCACATAGATATACACTACCGGTCAAAAGTTTTAGAACACCTACTCATTCAAGGGTTTTTCTTTATTTTTACTATTTTCTACATTGTAGAATAATAGTGAAGACATCAAAACAATGAAATAACACATATGGAATCAAAGAAGTGTTAAACAAATCCAAATAAATGGTCCTCTGTAGCTCAGCTGGTAGAGCACGGCGCTTGTAACGCCAAGGTAGTGGGTTCGATCCCCGGGACCACCCATACACAAAAAAAATGTATGCACGCATGACTGTAAGTCGCTTTGGATAAAAGCGTCTGCTAAATGGCATTTTATTTTATTTATTTATTTATATTCACCCTTTGCCTTGATGACAGCCTTGCACACACTTGCCATTCTCTCAAACAACTTCATGAGGTAGTCACCTGGAATGCATTTCAATTAACAGGTGTGTGCCTTCTTAAAAGTTAATTTGTGGAATTTCTTTCTTTCTTTATGCATTAGAGACAATCAGTTGTGTTGTGACAAGGTAGGCTCAAATAAGCAAAGAGAAACTTTAAGACATGAAGGTCAGTCAATACGGAAAATTTCAAGAACTCTGCATCGAAGTGCTAGCTGTGTCACTAGAGATCCTGGTTTGAATCCAGGCTCTGTCGTAGCCGGGAGACCCATAGGGCGGCGCACAAGTCGTCCAGGGTAGGGGAGGGAATGGCCGGCAGGGATGTATCACAGTTGGTAGAGCAAGGGTTGTGGGTTCGATTCCCACGGGGGGCCAGTATGAAAAATAAAATAAAAATAATGTATACACTCACTAACTGTAAGTCGCTCTGGATAAGAGCATCTGCTAAATTACTAAAATGTAAGTGCACTCGCAAAAACCATCAAGCGCTATGATGAAACTGGCTCTCATGAGAACCGCCACAGGAATGGAAGACCCAGAGTTCCCTCTGTTGCAGAGGATAAGTTAATTCGAGTTACCAGCCTCAGAAATTGCAGCCCAAATAAATGCTTCATAGAGTTCAAGTAACAGACACATCTCAACATCAACTGTTTTTTATTTCACCTTTATTTAACCAGGTAAGCCAGTTGAGAACGTTCTCATTTACAACTGCGACCTGGCCAAGATAAAGCAAAGCAGTGCGATAAAAACAACAACACAGAGTTACATATGGGGTAAACAAAACATAAAGTCAAAAATACAACAGAAAATATATATATACAGTGTGTGCGAATGTAGTAAATTATGGAGAAAAGGCAATAAATAGGCCATGGTGCAAAATAGTTACAATTTCGTATTAACACTGGAATGATAGATGTGCAAAAGATTATGTGCAAATAGAGATACTGGGGTGCAAATTATCAAAATAAATAACAATATGGGGATGAGGTAGTTGGATGGGCTAATTACAGATGGGCTGTGTACAGGTGCAGTGATCGGTAAGCTGCTCTGACAACTGACGCCTAAAGTTAGTGAGGGAGATAAGAGTCTTCAGCTTTAGAGATTTTTGGAACTGGAAGGAATGGCAGCCAAAGGAGGTGTTAGTTTTGGAGATTACCAGTGAGATATACCTGCTGGAGCGCAGACTACGGGTGGGTGTTGTTATGGCGACCAGTGAGCTAAGATAAGACGGGGATTTGCCTAGCAGTGATATATAGATGACCTGGAGCCAGTGGGTTTGGCGACAAATATGTAGTGAGGGCCAGCCAACAAGAGCGTACAGGTCACAGTGGTGGGTAGTATCTGGGGCTTAGGTGTCAAAACGGATGGCACTGTGATATACTACATCCAATTTGCTGAGTAGTGTTGGAGGCAATTTTGTAAATGACATCCCCGAAGTCAAGGATCGGTAGGATAGTCAGTTTTACGAGGGCATGTTTGGCAGCATGAGTGAAGGAGGCTTTGTTGCGAAATAGGAAGCCGATTCTAGATCTAACTTTTTGATTGGAGATGCTTAATGTGAGTCTGGAAGGAGAGTTTACAGTCTAACCAGACACCTAGGTATTTGTAGTTGTCCACATACTCTAGGTCAGACCCGCCGAGTGTAGTGATTCTAGTTGGGTGGGCGGGTACAAGCAGCGTTCGATTGAAGAACATGCATTTAGTTTTACTAGTGTTTAAGAGCAGTTGGAGGCTACGGAAGGAATGTCGTATGGCGTTGAAGCTCGTTTGGAGGTTTGTTAACATAGTGTCCAATGAAGGGCCAGATGTATACAAAATGGTGTCCGCATAGAGGTGGATCCGAGCGTCACCAGCAGCAAGAGCAACATCATTGATATACACAGAGAATAGAGTCGGCCCGAGATTTGAACCCTGAGGCACCCCCATAGAGACTGCCAGAGGTCCAGACAACAGGCCTTTCGATTTGACACATTGAACTCTATCTGAGAAGTAGTTGGTGAACCAGGCGAGGCAGTCATTTGAGAAACCAAGTCTGCCAATAATAATGCGATGGTTGACAGAGTCGAAAGCCTTGGCCAGGTCGATGAAGACGGCTGCGCAGTACTGTCTTTTATCGATCACGGTTATAATATCGTTTAGGACCTTGAGCGTGGCTGAGATGCACCCATGACCAGCTCGGAAACCGGATTGCATAGCGGAGAAGGTACGGTGGGATTCGAAATAGTCGGTGATCTGTTTGTTAACTTGGCTTTCAAAAACTTTTGAAAGGCAGGGCAGGATGGATATACAGTGGGGGAAAAAAGTATTTAGTCAGCCACCAATTGTGCAAGTTCTCCCACTTAAAAAGATGAGAGAGGCCTGTAATTTTCATCATAGGTACACGTCAACTATGACAGACAAAATGAGAAAAAAAATTCCAGAAAATCACATTGTAGGATTTTTAATGAATTTATTTGCAAATTATGGTGGAAAATAAGTATTTGGTCAATAACAAAAGTTTCTCAATACTTTGTTATATACCCTTTGTTGGCAATGACACAGGTCAAACGTTTTCTGTAAGTCTTCACAAGGTTTTCACACACTGTTGCTGGTATTTTGGCCCATTCCTCCATGCAGATCTCCTCTAGAGCAGTGATGTTTTGGGGCTGTCGCTGGGCAACACGGACTTTCAACTCCCTCCAAAGATTTTCTATGGGGTTGAGATCTGGAGACTGGCTAGGCCACTCCAGGACCTTGAAATGCTTCTTACGAAGCCACTCCTTCGTTGCCCGGGCGGTGTGTTTGGGATCATTGTCATGCTGAAAGACCCAGCCACGTTTCATCTTCAATGCCCTTGCTGATGGAAGGAGGTTTTCACTCAAAATCTCACGATACATGGCCCCATTCATTCTTTCCTTTACACGAATCAGTCGTCCTGGTCCCTTTGCAGAAAAACAGCCCCAAAGCATGATGTTTCCACCCCCATGCTTCACAGTAGGTATGGTGTTCTTTGGATGCAACTCAGCATTCTTTGTCCTCCAAACACGACGAGTTGAGTTTTTACCAAAAAGTTCTATTTTGGTTTCATCTGACCATATGACATTCTCCCAATCCTCTTCTGGATCATCCAAATGCACTCTAGCAAACTTCAGACGGGCCTGGACATGTACTGGCTTAAGCAGGGGGACACATCTGGCACTGCAGGATTTGAGTCCCTGGCGGCGTAGTGTGTTACTGATGGTAGGCTTTGTTACTTTGGTACCAGCTCTCTGCAGGTCATTCACTAGGTCCCCCCGTGTGGTTCTGGGATTTTTGCTCACCGTTCTTGTGATCATTTTGACCCCATGGGGTGAGATCTTGCGTGGAGCCCCAGATCGAGGGAGATTATCAGTGGTCTTGTATGTCTTCCATTTCCTAATAATTGCTCCCACAGTTGATTTCTTCAAACCAAGCTGCTTACCTATTGCAGATTCAGTCTTCCCAGCCTGGTGCAGGTCTACAATTTTGTTTCTGGTGTCCTTTGACAGCTCTTTGGTCTTGGCCATAGTGGAGTTTGGAGTGTGACTGTTTGAGGTTGTGGACAGGTGTCTTTTATACTGATAAGAAGTTCAAACAGGTGCCATTAATACAGGTAATGAGTGGAGGACAGAGGAGCCTCTTAAAGAATAAGTTATAGGTCTGTGAGAGCCAGAAATCTTGCTTGTTTGTAGGTGACCAAATACTTATTTTCCACCATAATTTGCAAATAAATTCATTAAAAATCCTACAATGTGATTTTCTGGATTTTTTTTTCTCAATTTGTCTGTCATAGTTGACGTGTACCTATGATGAAAATTACAGGCCTCTCTGATCTTTTTAAGTGGGAGAACTTGCACAATTGGTGGCTGACTAAATACTTTTTTTCCCCACTGTAGGTCTGTAGCAGTTTGGATCTAGAGTGTCATCCCCTTTGAAGAGGGGGATGACCGCAGCAGCTTTCCAATCTCTGGGGATCTCAGACGTTACGAAAGAGGTTGAACAGGCTAGTAATAGGGGTTGCGACAATTTCGGCAGCTAATTTTAGAAAGAAAGGGTCCAGATTGTCTAGCCCAGCTGATTTGTAGGGGTCCAGATTTTTCAGCTCTTTCAGAACATCAGCTGTCTGAATTTGTGTAAAGGAGAAGCAGGGGGGGCATGGGCAAGTTGCAGCGGAGGGTGCAGAGCTGGTGGCCGGGGTAGTGGTAGCCAGGTCAAAATGCTTGTTGAAATTCTCGATTATTGTAGATGTATCGGTGGTGACAGTGTTTCCTAGCCTCAGTGCAGTGGGCAGTTGGGAGGAGGTGCTCTTATTCTCTATGGACTTTACAGTGTCCCAAAACCTTTTGGAGTTAGTGCTACAGGATGCAAATGTCTGTTTGAAAAAGCTAGCCTGTGCTTTCCTAACTGATTGTGTATATTGGTTCCTGACTTCCCTGAAAAGTTGCATATTGAGGGGGCTGTTCGATGCTAATGCAGTACTCCACAATATATTTTTGTGCTGGTCAAGGGCAGTCAAGTCTGAGGAGAACCAGGGGCTATATCTGTTCTTAGTTCTGAATTTTTTGAACGGGGCATGCTTATTTAAGATTGAGAGGAAAGCATTCCTCTACTGACGGAATGAGATCGATATCCATCCAGGATACCCGGGCTAGGTCAATTAGAAAGGACTGCTCGCTAAAGTGTGGTCCTCTGTAGCTCAGCTGGTAGAGCACGGCGCTTGTAACGCCAAGGTAGTGGGTTTGATCCCAGGGACCACCCATACACAAAAAAAATTATGCACGCATGACTGTAAGTCGCTTTGGATAAAAGCGTCTGCTAAATGGCATATTATTATTATTATTATATTAGTGTTTTAGGGAGCGTTTGACAGTGATGAGGGGTGGTCGTTTGACCGCGGACCCATTACGGACGCAGGCAATAAGGCAGTGATCGCTGAGATCCTGGTTGAAGACAGCGGAGGTGTATTTAGTGGGTAGATTTGTCAGGATGATATCTATGAGGGTGCCCATGTTTACAGATGTAGGGTTGTACCTGGTAGGTACAACCCTACCAAGTGAAATGTCAAGTGAAATTGAAGGCATCTAGTTTAGATTTTAGGTTGGCCGGGGTGTTAAACATATCCCTGTTTAGGTCACCAAGCAGTACGAACTTTGAGGATAGATGGGGGGCAATCAGTTCACATATGGTGTCCAGGGCACAGCTTGGGGCTGAGGGGGGTCTGTAGCAAGCGGCAACAGTGAGAGACTTGTTCAGAGGAGACTGTGTGAATCAGACCTTCGTGGTTGAATTGCTGCAAAGAAACCACTACTAACCACTACTAAAGTACACCAATAAGAAGAGACTTGCTTCGGCCAAGAAACATGAGCAATGGACATTAGACCGGTGGAAATGTGTCCTTTGGTCTGGAGTCCAAATTAGAGATTTTTGATTCCACCCGCCGTGTCTTTGTGAGACGCGGTGTGGGTGAACTGATGATCTCTGCATGTGTATTTCCCACCGTAAAGCATGGAGGAGGTGGTGTTATGGTGTGGGGGTGCTTTGCTGGTGACACTGTCTGTGATTTATTTAGAATTCAAGGCACACTTAACCAGCATGGCCACCACAGCATTCTGCAGCGATACGCCATCCCATCTGGTTTGGGCTTAGTGGGACTATCATTTGTTTTTCAACAGGACAATGACCCAACACACCTCCAGGCTGTGTAAGGGCTATTTTACCAAGAAGGAGAGTGATGGAGTGCTGCATCTGATGCCCTGGCCTCCACAATCCCCCAACCTCAACCAAATTGAGATGGTTTGGGATGAGTCGGACCGCAGAGTGAAGGAAAAGCAGCCAACAAGTGCTCAGCATATGTGGGAACTCCTTCAAGACTGTTGGAAAAGCATTCCAGGTGAAGCTGGATGAGAGAATGCCAAGAGTGTGCAAAGCTGTCATCAAGGCAAAGGGTGGCTACTTTGAAGAATCTCAAATATAAAATATATTTGGATTTGTTTAACACTTTTGTGGTTACTACATGATTCAATGTGTTATTTCATAGTTTTGATGTCTTCACTATTATTCTACAATGTAGAAAATAGTAAAAATAAAGAAAATCCCTTGAATGAGTAGGTGTTCTAAAACTTTTGACCGGTAGTGTAGCTGTTGACTTCTATGATGGGGCGGCAGGTAGCTGAGTGGTTAAGAGCGTTGTGCCAGTAACCGAAAGGTCGCTGGTTCTAATCCCCGAGCTCACTAGGTGAAAAACCTGTCGATGTGCCCTTGAGCAAGGCACTTAACCCTAATTGCTCCTGTAAGTCGCTCTGGATAAGAGCGTCTGCTAAATGACTAAAATGTAAAATGTAAATGTAATGATATTGCCTATAATAGCCAATATGTGGTGTTCAATGTAGGCCAACAATCCATGAGACTTTATAAAAACATTATGCTTGGCTTGACATTAACCATTTTAGGTATTATGTTTTACTTGTCACAATTGGCCAAATAGGTGACTGAAAGTTTCATTGTATTGTGCTATGTGATGCAAGAAACCGCTTTAAATTAATTGTTATAATAATAATAATAATAATAATAATAATTATTATTATTATTATTATTACCATACAGAGAATCACACAGAAATGTGTGCTACCCTCTGCCTATTGGCTTATTTGCATTTTCATGCCTGTCTCAAAATAGGACACTTTCCCTTTAAGACAAACAATAGCTCACCTGACCTGCTTTTCAAAGACAGTTAGATATGTACAAGTTTTGTGCTCTTGTAGGAAGCAATCACTCCCCCATTGCTGAGCAAAATAAGCTATAACCGGGCTAGTAACTCACAAGCTAGGATAGAATATCAACAAATGTGCACACACGGCTATGTTCTGTGATCTCAAATGGGCATATAGGCTACTCTCCGACCACTGGTGATGGAAAAACAGCTCCTGCCTGTGAAATAGAACAAGGTTACTCCGATGCGCTCCTCAACCTACAACAAAATCACCAACTCGGTCTTGCAGTTAGATTTGGTTTGTTGCATTGAAAGGGACTGTTAATATGTTGATCAATCCCATTTTCCAAAGTAGAGGACAGATAGTGTACATTTTAGTGAAGTTCAATCTCGTGCATGTCCGCGTGGGCTTGCAGTTCTTCTGCATGGGACTGCTCCAGGAGGGAGGGAACATTGGCCAGAGCATAACTGAGTTAGAGTGACTAGCTGGCTGACTGGCTGTTACAGAAGAAATCACTGTCATTGTCTGTGGTAAAGAGACGAGTGGTACGTGCTTCCCTGAAAAGCTGTTCCCCCATCAATCCTGACTGAGCACTATTCACTCAGCAGCTGGAATGCAGCTCTGGCAGAAAATGTTTTGCTCACTAGCCCTGAAAACTGAATAGGAAACAAAACTGGGGAGACAACTGTTTGTCTGGTTACTCATTGCAGTGATAAACATAGCAGTGATAAACAAACAGAGAAACAACAAGGTCTTATTCAATGAAACATTAAATATTGTTTGTGACGTTAGTGGTTGCAGTTGGAGGCCACACTTTCAGGTGCAAACAGTAAGCTCTCTCTCTGTGTGTGTGTGTGTGTGTTTGTTTTCTACTTACGTACATGGTTTCCTGTCTGCCCTAGAGTGCCTCATCTATTGCATAGTGAGCCGAGTTCTCATCTGAAGACTTTTCACCCAAAGAAAAACTCAAACTACTGCAGCTCTGACCGGGATCTCGCCTCTGGATACAAGTCTAGCTCAGTAACACTTCTCACTTTATTATGAAGTGTTCTAATGCTTTATTAACATCCAGAGTAGGGATGGGACAAATGAACAATTTTGCTTTTTGTTTAAACTGCAATTTTGTTATCGGTTTTCCGTTAAAACAATAAGAATAAAATCACAAAATTCCACCTCAACTCACAATGAAGAATAATGGTCTTATTACGTACTGTATGTATGACCGCTAGGTCCGGGGGATGAAGTTACACTATTTATACAAAAGTATGTGGACACCACTTCAAATGAGTGGATGCGGCAATTTCAGCCACACCCGTTGCTGACAGGTGTATAAAATTGAGCACACAACAAGGCAGTTCGTCAACTTTCTGCCCTGCTAGAGCTGCCCAGATCAACTGTAAGTGCTGTTATTGTGAAGTGGAAATGTCTAGGAGCAACAATGGCTCAGCCGTAGGCCACACAAGCTCACAGAACGAGACCGCCGAGTGCTGAAACGTGTTAAAAATCATCTGTCCTCGGTTGCAACACTCACTACAGAGTTGCAAACTGCCTCTGGAAGCAATGTCAGCACAAGAACTGCTCTTCGGGAGCTTCATGAAATGGGTTTCCATGGCCGAGCAGCCGCACACAAGCCTAAGATCACCATGCCCAATGCCAAGTGTTGGCTGGAGTGGTGTAAACTTGCTGCCATTGGACTCTGGAGCAGTGAAACCGCGTTCTCTGGAGTGATGAATCACACTTCATCTGGCAGTCCGAAGGATGAATCTGGGTTTGGCGGATGCCAGGAGAACGCTATCTGCCCGAATGCATAGTGCCAATTGTAAAGTTTGGTGGAGGAGGAATAATGGTCTGGGGCTGTTTTTCATGGTTCGGGCTATGCCCCTTAGTTCCAGTGAAGATAAATCTTAAGGCTACAGCATACAATGACATTCTAGACAATTCTGTGCTTCCAATTGTGTGGCAACAGTTTGGGGAAGACATTTCCTGTTTCAGCATTGCAATGCCCCCGTGCACAAAGCGAGGTCCATACAAAATTGGTTTGTCAAGATCGGTGTGGAAAAACTTGACTGGCCTGCACCAAGCCCTGACCTCAACCCCATCGAACACCTTTGGGATGAATTGGAACGCCGACTGCGAAACAGGCCCAACATCAGTGCCCGACCTCACTAATGCTCGTGGCTGAATGGAAGCAAGTCCCCGCAGCAATGTTCTAACATCTAGCGGAAAGCCTTCCCAGAAGAGTGGAGGCTGTTATAGCAGCAAAGAGGGAACCAACTCCATATTAATGCCCATGATTTTGGAATGAGACGTTTGACGAGCAGGTGTCCACATACTTTTGTTAATGTAGTGTATATCTACCGCAGTTGGTATCCAAGGGTACACTATGGCTGATATGACGGGTTTACACAGGATTTGTTAATCTGTTTGATATTACGTGTTACATAGGATTCTGAGGATGAGGACATTCCATTTATTTATGTCACTGGTGGGTGCCAGAAAGTCTGCGTTACAGGAGGTCTAGGGAGCCCACTTGTGTTAATCTTAGAATGAGTACGTGATGGAATGTCCTGACTGGGGTGCAAGCTGACTGGGGTACAAGATGATACTATTGTAGTTGGGAGAGACACCCAATAATGGTTGGCAACTGTGGGCTAGAATTGGATTGCAAAGCAGTATATAAACTGAGACATTTTCTATGTATATCATTCAAAAGAGCAAGAGGCCACTCACGTGCCGCTTGTTATGTTGAATTCGGTACCATATCTATTAAATACTTTGTATCAACTCTCCATATAATTGTTTAAGTATATTCTTGCATCTTGAATTACTTGATACCAGAGAAACTCATAACAACAGCTTTTTAAATGCCGAAATGAAACCTTCTCTGGAGATAAAGGAATGGCGCTTCTGTAGCAGGACTAACCCCCCCCCCCAACACACACCCTCTCACTCTTACCTCCAGCACAGGCCCAGCTCCCAGTATGGTCCCCTCCACCCCGCTGCTGTAGCCCTTCTGACTCAACGCCGTCAGACAGTGAATCAGGAAGTTGGTGCTCTGGGTCTTTCCTGATCCGCTCTCCCCTGATATCACCACACACTGGTTCTCCTGCTTCTTCAGCATGGTGTGGTACGCCACGTCCGCCATTGCAAAGATATGAGGGCTTAATTTCCCAAGTGGCTGGTTGTTGTACATCGTGATGTACTTAGGGTTGTAGATGGGCAGGAACTTGAAGGGGTTAATTGCCACCAGGATGCCCCTAGCGTACGTGTAGATGTTGTGTTTGTAGAAGCGCAGGCGCAAGGCGGCCAGGATAGTGTCCTCAGTCAGGGTGGAGAGGCAGCACAGGTCATCATAGTCCTCTAGTGAAGGTACCCCACCACCGCCCCTCCCTGACCCCAGAGCCCCTTCTCCTCCCTGGGCTTGGAGGATGAAGTAATACCCCTTCTCCTGGGGATGCCGTTCTCTGGCCCTTGGGGGCCAAAGCAACACCCTCTCCACAGGCATCTCAGTGTCCCCTAGCCTCCTCTCCTCCCCTTCAGCCTGCCTGACTTCTAGCAGGGCGTACGGCCTGGCCATGTCCAGGCCCAGAGTGGCCCCTGCTTTCTGGATAACCGTGGCCGTCGTGGCCCCTGGGCTGACCTGGAGGGTACAACATGCTGCTGTGTCCTGGGACAGACGTGGGTAGATCTGGAGGAAGACGGCCTGCGGCTGCTGTTGTTGTTGTTGATCTACATCCAGGATGGCTGCTCCTACCACACCGTCAGACACACTCATCCTGCTGGCTGACACACAAAGGACCTCTCCAGCATACCTCACTGGCACTGCCCTCCCCAAATCAGGATGTAACCACTGGGCAGGGAGAGAGAGAGAAGAATGTGGTAGAGTCAGGGAGGAGTATGGGAGATACAGTGCAGTCAGAAAGCATTCAGACCCCTTCACTTTTTCCACATTGTTACGTTACAGCCTTGTTCTAAAATTGATTAAATTGGGTTTTTTCCTCATTAATCGACACACAACACACACTAAAAACCTGTTTTCGCTTTGTCATTATGGGGTATTGTGTAGATTGATTACGAAAACAATTAATGTAATACATTTTAGAATCAGGCTGTAACGTAACAAAATGTTGAAAAAGTGAAAGGGTCTGAATACTTTTCCGAATGCACTGTTAACATTACAAATGGCATTAGACTGGCAATCTAAGTAAAGTATTTGCATGACGGTAAATACATATTTATCAGAATTTAAAAGTGGCATTGAATTATTATAACAATTCTCCACTTTAATTTAAGCATAAATCTGCTCAGCCATTGATAGTCGCAGAGATTTAATAGGATACTGTATCCATACAGCATAGAGCTCCACTGAAGCAGTGAGGGAAGGGAGACACTACACAACAAATTAACCCAGCTTCCAAGAGAAGTGAGTGCATACTTGTCTGTTGAGCGTATATGCATGCAGACACCAGAAAAGGTTACAAATGTTTTCTACAGTATTTGTTCCACTAAGACAATAACCTCTATTCCCTCAGTGCAACCAACTTTCCCACGACATCCCTAATCCCTACAATATAATATTTTGTCCAGTGACAACGAGATTCAACAGCTGAGTCATTCTTACTCTCCGGTGCCTTTTGGACCTCATAACTTTTGGGAGAGAAAAAAATAAAATACTTTTTTTTGAGTATTCTATCCGAAAAAGGTCATGTTTGACTTTCAGAAAAGCATATTGGTCAAGCTCAGGCATTTATATCCTAATTAGTATAGGCAGATTGTTCACAAAATAATATTTCAACCCTGTTAGAGACATACACATAAATATCAGAAAGTGTTAACAATGTATGCATTGCCTTGCAAAAGTATTCATCCCCCTTGGCGTTTTTTCCTATTTTGTTGCATTACAACCTGTAATTTAAATGGCTTTTCATTTGGATTTAATGTAATGGACATACACAAAATAGTCCAAATTGGTGAATAATTTTTTTTTTTTAAACTTCTTACAAACAATTCGAAAAAATTAATAACGGAAAAGTGGTGAGTGCATATGTATTCACCCCCTTTGCTATGAAGCCCCTAAATAAGATCTGGTGCAACCAATTACCTTCAGAAATCACATAATTAGTTAAATAAAGTCCACCTGTGTGCAATCTAAGTGTCAGTATATACAGTGAGGGAAAAAAGTATTTGATCCCCTGCTGATTTTGTACGTTTGCCCACTGACAAAGAAATGATCAGGCTATAATTTTAATGGTAGGTTTATTTGAACAGTGAGAGACAGAATAACAACAACAAAATCCAGAAAAACGCATGTCTAAAATGTTATAAATTGATTAGCATTTTAATGAGGGAAATAAGTATTTGACCCCCCTCTCAATCAGAAAGTCTTTTATACAGGTAACGAGCTGAGGTTAGGAGCACACACTTAAAGGGAGTGCTCCTAATCTCAGCTTGTTACCTGTATGAAGGACACCTGTCCACAGAAGCAATCAATCAGATTCCAAACTCTCCACCATGGCCAAGACCAAAGAGCCCTCCAAGGATGTCATGGACAAGATTGTAGACCTACACAAGGCTGGAATGGGCTACAAGACCATCGCCAAGCAGCTTGGTGAGAAGGTGACAACAGTTGGTGCGATTATTCGCAAATGGAAGAAACACAAAATAACTGTCAATCTCCCTCGGCCTGGGGCTCCATGCAAGATTTCACCTCGTGGAGTTGCAATGATCATGAGAATGGTGAGGAATCAGCCCAGAACTACACGGGAGGATCTTGTCAATGATCTCAAGGCAGCTGGGACCATAGTCACCAAGAAAACAATTGGTAACACACTACGCCTTGAAGGACTGAAATCCTGCAGCGCCCGCAAGGTCCCCCTGCTCAAGAAAGCACATGTACATGCCCGTCTGAAGTTTGCCAATTAACATCTGAATGATTCAGAGGAGAACTGGGTGAAAGTGTTGTGGTCAGATGAGACCAAAATGGAGCTCTTTGGCATCAACTCAACTCGCCGTGTTTGGAGGAGGAGGAATGCTGCCTATGACCCCAAGAACACCATCCCCACCGTCAAACATGGAGGTGGAAAAATTATGCTTTGGGGGTGTTTTTCTGCTAAGGGGACAGGACAACTTCACCGCATCAAAGGGACGATGGACGGGGCCATGTACCGTCAAATCTTGTGTGAGAACCGCCTTCCCTCAGCCAGGGCATTGAAAATGGGTCGTGGATGGGCATTCCAGCATGACAATGACCCAAAACACACGGCCAAGGCAAGAAAGGAGTGGCTCAAGAATTAGCACATTAAGGTCCTGGAGTGGCCTAGCCAGTCTCCAGACCTTAATCCCATAGAAAATCTGTGGAGGGAGCTGAAGGTTTGAGCTGCCAAACGTCAGCCTCGAAACCTTAATGACTTGGAGAAGATCTGCAAAGAGGAGCGGGACAAAATCCCTCCTGAGATGTGTGAAAACCTGGTGGCCAACTACAAGAAACGTCTGACCTCTGTGATTGCCAACAAGGGTTTTGTCACCAAGTACTAAGTCATGCTTTGCAGAGGGGTCAAATACTTATTTCCCTCATTAAAATGCAAATCAATTTAACATTTTTGATATGCGTTTTTCTGGATTTTTTGTTGTTCTTCTGTCTCTCACTGTTCAAATAAACCTACCATTAAAATTATAGACAGATCAGTTCTTTGTCAGTGGGCAAACGTACAAAATCAGCAGGGGATCAAATACTTTCTTCCCTCACTGTATACACCTGTTCTGAAAGGCATCAGAGTCTGCAACACCACTAAGCAAGGGGCACCATTAAGACCAAGGATCTCTCCAAACAGGTCAGGGACAAAGTTGTGGAGAAGTACAGATCAGGGTTGGGTTCTAAAAAAATATCCGAAACTTTGAACATCCCAAGGAGCACCATTAAATCCATTATTTAAAAATGGAAAGAATATGGCACCACAACAAACATGCCAAGAGAGGGCCGCCCACCAAAACTCACGGAGCAGGCAAGGAGGGCATTAATCAGAGAGGCAACAAAGAGACCAAAGATAACCCTGAAGGAGCTGCAAAACTCCACAGCGGAGATTGGAGTATCTGTCCATAGGACCACTTTAAGCCATACACTTCACAGAGCTGGGCTTTACGGAAGAGTGGCCAGAAACAAGCCATTGCTTAAAGAAAAAAATAAGCAAACACGTTTGGTGTTAGCCAAAAGCCATGTGGGAGACTCCCCAAACATATGGAAGAAGGTACTCTGGTCAAATGAGACTAAAATTGAGCTTTTTGGCCATCAAGGAAAACGCTATGTCTGGCGCAAACCCAACACCTCTCATCACCCCGGGAACACAATTTTTCCATCGGCAGGGACTTGGAAACTGGTCAGATGGCGCTAAATACAGGGAACTTCTTGAGGGAAACCTGTTTCAGTCTTCCAGAGATTTGAGACTGGGACGGAGGTTCACCTTCCAGCAGGACAATGACCCTAAGCATACTGCTAAAGCAACACTCGAGTGGTTTAAGGGGAAACATTTAAATGTCTTGGAATGGCCTAGTCAAAGCCCAGACCTCAATCCAATTGAGAATCTGTGGTATGACTTAAAGATTGCTGTACACCAGCGGAACCCATCCAACTTGAAGGAGCTGGAGCAGTTTTGCCTTGAAGAATGGGAAAAAATCCCAGTGGCTAGATGTGCCAAGCTTATAGAGACATACCCCATGAGACTTGCAGCTGTAATTGCTGCAAAAGGTGGCTCTACAAAGTATTGACTATGAATAGTTGAATAGTTATGCACGCTCAAGTTCTGTTTTTTTGTCTTATTTCTTGTTTCTTTGTTTCACAAGAAAATATATTTTGCATCTTTAAAGTGGTAGGCATGTTGTGTAAATCAAATGATACAACCCCCCCCCCAAAATGTATTTTAAATGCCAAGGGGATGAATACTTTCACAAGCCACTGTATATACAGTGCCTTCGGAAAGTATTTCGACCCCTTGACTTTTTCCACATTATGTTACGTTACAGCCTTATTCTAAAATTGATTAAATTGTTTTTCCCCCTCATCAATCTACACACAATACCCCATAATGACAAAGCAAAAACAGGTTTAGACATTTTTGCGAATGTATTTAAAAAAAATAAAAAAAATGAAATATAACATTAACATAAGTATTCAGACCCTTTACTTACTTTGAGTAAAGCCAGTGTGTCTATGTATGCGGATGACTCAACACTATACACATCAGCTACTACAGCGACTGAAATGACAGCAATACTTATAAAAGAGCTGCAGATAGTTTCAGAATGGGTGGCAAGGAATAAGTTAGTCCTAAATATTTCTAAAACTAAAAGCATTGTATTTGGGACAAATTATTTACTAAACCCTAAACCTCAACTAAATATTGTAATGAATAATGTGGAAATTGAGCAAGATGAGGAGACTAAATTGTTTGGAGTAACCCTGGATTGTAAACTGTCATGGTCAAAACATATTGATACAACAGTAGCTAGGATGGGGAAAAGTCTGTCTATAATAAAGCGCTGCTCTGTATTCTTAACAGCACTATCAACAAGGCAGGTCCTACAGGCCATAGTTTTGTCGCACCTGGACTACTGTTCAGTCGTGTGGTCAGGTGCCACAAAGAAGGACTTAGGAAAATTGCAATTGGCTCAGAACAGGGCAGCATGGCTGGCCCTTGGATGTACACAGAGTGCTAACATTAATAATATGCATGTCAATCTCACCTGGCTCAAAGTGGAGGAGAGATTGACTTCATATCTACT